TCCAATACGATGGTCAGCTTGGAGGGCCTGAGCAAGCACAGGTGGCTGGCACAGGCTGGCTGACACATGCTATTAATTTTCAGATAGTTCCCCATGGCCATAGAGATAAAAACTCTGGTATTTGAGTTTCATGTTCTTCCACACCTTGGAGATTCTCAGTAAAACGCAGCATACAATCACTGTAGATAGATTTCCCTGAGGTATTCAGAAATGAAATCTGACCCAGAATGCCTGAGGCTGAACCGTCTTCAGAAATCAGTTCAGGTGTTTGCTTCAGCAGCACATACACTAAAATTGGGATGCTCCAGAGATGAGCATGGCCCCTGTGCAAGGATCCCCCCCAAATCAATTCAGTCTGAGGGTCAACTCAAGGTCGCCTCCCTCAAAATGCCCTAGCTTTGCATTTGAACTAAATGATTTGAAGGCAGGATTATAGGTGTAGGTTGTGTTACTGCTCAAGTTACATAAATAACAACTGTTAATATCTACAATTTAGGAGTTATTGAAGAAACCCTTTCGTAAGCCCTGATTAGCCCTGATGAAGCTACTATAGTGTGTTCCTATTGCAACAGCATGTTATGCATTTCAAAGGGTGGTTGGAAGACACATAAGTCATATAGAAATAATCTGCTCTCTGGAATTTAGAGCCACAGAAAATTCTTCCCTAACAGACAGCTCCTCGGCATTGGATAACATCCATGAGGACACACTTTTTGTGATGAGGGAAGACCCATCCGTGAAATGTGGTGAGGGTGACCGTGACCTTGGGACTTTTTGGAAAGACCAGACCAATATGGCACTTATTAGGCTCCCCATAATTTCCTTATTAGTTACTCTCCAGAGGACAGTCCTCAGATCAAAATGTGAGATGCAAGCAGAACCACCAGTGTCCCCAATGCCCTGTGGCCGCTCAAGGATTGCCCAAGAACTAGGGCTCCTTAGCAGTAAACATCAGTGGCAAGTGTGACAAAGCTGTGGTCTGTCAGCATATGTGGTCTAAAGGCTCGTGAGATGGTGGGCATGAAGGGATTGGTGTGCACTTGGGTCTAATGGGAGTGCAGTGACCGAGATGAACAGAGGCGCTGCTTCTGGGGGTGGACAGGCACGGGGAGATTTCCCTGAGTTTGGCCTCCCACTACCCCGCCTAATGCTGGCCTACCACCCTGGGCTTCCTAACCATCTCCCGAATCTGAGATTGTTTTGAATGCTTGGTAGTGAGTGACCGTTTTAATTCCCTTCTTTGCTTTTTAAAAAATTATCAAATAATTTATGAATTTCTGCTAAAATCAGATGACTATTTAGATATTCTTTCTCATTCTTTGTGATTTTTATTAGCTGACTAAGGTAATGTTTGAAAGTCAGTATCGAGCCCTGGCAGTTGTGGCTCAGTTGATTGAGCATCTATGTTTCTCTCTTTATCTCTCTCCCTCCCTCCCTTTCTCCCTCTCCCTTCATCTTGCTGTAAAATCAATAAAACACATTTATTTTAAGAAATCCATTTCCAGTATTTTCTTAGGCCACTCTGGCTTGGGCTGCTATTGAAAGGTACTAGTAGTAGCTGCTCTTCTTCAGCTGAATTTTATGTTATTGTAGATTGCCTTTCTGTTGCAACTAAATAATGTGTGTCCTTGAGCAGACTAAATGCCTGGAGGTCTTCTCTTGTGCTGCTGTTTCTGTGTACCTTGTCTTGCTCATAGTATGATTGCTCTGGTTTTGGTTTATTTTGGTTTTCCTGTCATGATTTAGGCTTAAAATGTCAATGTTGTGTTCATTTTAAACTGTTAAAACTAGATTGATTAGGGTATGTACCCGAGGGGACAGTCAGCAAAACTAACCTTAAAGTGTTAAGTGGCATAGATTCTTCTATCTCGAGACTTTTAAAAAATGGACTCAAGAGATTAATTACTATGTTTTTGTTGAGAGAGATCTGCATAATAGGTGCTTACTACACTTTTATTTTACTGAACTATATAAAGTTTAAATCTGATTTTTGACAATATAGCATCCAGGAAGAGTTTATAATTTCAGTCTGTTCTCAGGCAAATGGAAATATATTTTTATTGCCAGTTTTCATTTGTGCTTTAATTTTTACTTTAAAAATCAGGTTTAAAGCGAAGGGTATAAATGGGTACTTCCATAACTTGGGCCATTATTTTTTAACTATTTTCCCTCAAGTGGCATGTTCTCTCCCATTCCCAATGACACCTGGGAGGATTTTCTTCACCTTGTTCTCTTTTTACACTTCCTAGTTAATATTTCACAGCAGCCCATGTAAGGATGTCCCTCAGAGCTTGAACAGCTTCTATGGAACAATCAGGAAAGTGTTCATTTGATTTTACTATTGAGGATTTTATTTATTGATCAGTTGTTGGCACATAGAAATACCAACGGTAGTTTTCATTAACATTTCATCCTACTTGAAATTCTAAGGTGATGATGAGAATGTCACTTAAGGAATAGGGGTGCTTGGGAAAGGGTTTGTTGCTCACTGTTAATCACTTAGTGTCTAATTAGTCTCATATATGAAAGATTTGAAGATGCTGGGCCCTAGAATTTCCTTTACTGACTGCACTTTTTGGGTTATAAAGCAATATTTGTTAACACCTTGGAGAATGGTTAACAACAGCCTAGAAAGTGTGTAGAACTCTGATCATTTTGCCTTACTTGCCCTTTGGGGCCGCACCGAGCAAGTACGGGGTGGAGGTTGGGCTTTGGATTATTGCCTCAGTGAAGAAGAGTAAGTGGGGATGGAGTTGGTTTTAGCTTAAAGTGGGGGGATTCTTAGCCCATGTGTGCTTGTCCTGCATCAGTCAGCATCCATCAGTGTTTTGTGAGTAACCGGTCTAAATTGATACTAAAAGAAATCTTTTTGTGTCTGATCTCTAGCAGGGGGAGCAATCTCTGAACTGTTATGAAGATCCTTGAAGTGCTTCAGTCTTCCCCACTTTTCCATCATGTGGCTTCTGGACACTGTTCAGTCATTTGAAAGTGACTTTAATTTAAAGTAAATGCCTCTGCTTCGCCCAGGAGGTGGAAGGAGTGAATTTTATGTTTGAATGAAGAAGTGAATTATGAACGAAGAGTATACGTCCCTTCCCTTTCAAGCATAAGTCCAAATAGGCTCTCAGGAATGCGGGTTTGTGAAGACATCACATGGGAGTTTGACTCATTTACACTTTAATATGAGTTATGTTGCTGGAGAAAAGATATTTCTTTTGCTCATCTAATCTCACTGTACCCCGCATCATTTTGACCTGTTTCCTACCTGCCTTCTATCCTCAGTGCACGTCCTTGAGTAACTTGTTCTTATCTGAAATTCTGCTGCCAGTATCCTTGGAAAACTTCTGTTGCATATTCTTCCATTTTGAAACTTACCCTTTCGCCAGATTCCTCCTGTATTTCCATATTGTGTACAAAGGATGGGCAAAGAAGAGAGTGCTTGAAACATTTGACATTTGTAGAAAGGGGAGAACGATGAGAAAGGCTCCTCTTCCCAATGGACCCCATTTTGCTCAAGCTGGGCTTCAAGAGGGGTTTTTGTTTTCCTTTCACTGCATGTTTCCCTCCAGTTTGGTTCATTCGCATTAATCATGTTTTGTGTGTGTCTATAGTTTTTTTTGTTGTTTTTTTTTTTAAGGGAGCTAGTTTCATTTGTCTCCAGCAAAGAATCATCAGTAGTTTATATTGCTTCACTTGTGCTGGCTTCCAGAGATGGAAACAAACCAAGGTGTCTCTCAGCAGTTTTTTTATTTTTTATTGGGGTTGGGGAATCTATGCAAGAACGACAGTAAAACCACCCAAAATCAAAGCAGCAGCCACAGTTCAAATCACAGATGAAGGAACAAAACTTTCTTATCATTGCTTGTGAATATCTGTCCTTCTGTCAGTCATCGCATCTTCCCCTCCTTGTATCCAAGCTCCTTTTCCTATGACATGTTCCAGTCACTTCCTTTCTATGAAAGGTTGCTTAGCTTTTAAAAATTTTTTTACATCTTGCTTTTGCTGTTCTTTTATATAAAAGGTAGCATATTGGATGGATGTGTACATTAGGTGTTTGAAATTCTCTGAAAATCCAGAGTAAAGAAACCAGGTGTGTGTATGTGGGGGGGTGGTGGGGAGGCGGGAGTGGGGAGTTCACTGGTCTGAGGAGAGCTTTTAGCTGACCAGAGTGCTTAACATGCATCATCATTTTCACAGTGTTTTCAAAGGGGAGTTTGCACATTGCTTGTTGTGAAATCTCTATCAGCTGGTGGGCGCTCCTCTAGGAGCCAAACAGGTTGGTTACCTTTTGGATTTTGGGATGGAAATCAAAGTAGAGCACATCAGTAAGAGCCTCTGTCCTCTTCCATCTTTTTGAACCAAAATACTCCGTGGTTGATGATCTGTCCTTGAGTCAGTTGCAATATGTCTATATTTTTAGATGCCACTACTTTTTCCTCAAATGCATGTTTTGTGAATTTCATATTTCATCTCAGACCAGTGGTTGAGATTAGTAGGTGGCTGACATATTTTCATTTGCAGACATTCCATTCCAAATCTGTGTGCTATGCACTGCAATAGTGTGCCAACTGTGATACAAAGGGTTCTGGCAGCAGCTCCTCATAATTATTTATGCTTTTGGAATTTTTTTCAGCTCCTGAAATCTGTCCATTTCAGTGTGATTTTCTCAATTTGTACAATATAAGCGTATTACCTTCTTCCCTTTTTCATCCCCCTCCTTCTGTTTTCTAATGTTCTGTAGTTTTGTACAAGACGAGACTTAGCCTTGGGTACTTCTTGCTGAAGCTTTAATGCTTTGTAAATAAAATTGGATGTTTATTAAAGAACAGGTGTAGATGCGTGTTGTAGGCACTCACCACTTCTGAAACTCACCTGCCCCTTTGCTTTATGACAGAAAAGGATCTTTGTGAAAATACAGAGCTGGGAGGGGGAGGGATGCTAAGGTAACCAGGTTTCTGCCTCTGGACAAGATTATAAATAAACCATTCAAACAAAAGGTGTGAAAAAGATCATCTAGGAATGATCTCTTCATATTTTTAAATTCAGTATAAGTGTGTGTACCGACTCAGTAGAGGCCAGCGTTTGTTTCAGTTGTCCCATAACCAGAACACCACCAGTGCGAGGAGGTGTTCTGCAGGTTATAGAAACGCATGCGAGGAGCTTCCTTCCAAGGAGCGTAGCACGCATGAGCACAGTTCGGGTCCCCTTTACTGGCCCCTTCCCCCTACATTAAATAGCTTCAGAACCCACTGAATACGAGTCATCTCTTAAGCAAGATGTTTCATAAAGGCTACTTAAGTGTTTGATTTTAATCATCACGTCTGAGTGCTGGCCTGCTAATCTTTTCTGTTATGTGACAGAATCTGCCTTTGACATCATAGCTGTTTCATAGCAACGCTGGCCCAAGTGAAAGATGAGCTGCTCTAGCCTCCAGAATGAAGGGCACAGGCCTAGGGTCATGCGTCCTCTCCTCCAGAAAACACCTTCGGTGCCCTTGGGAAGGAAAAGTGCCTGGGAGGTGGAGAGGCGCTGCCTTTAATCTCGGTACCTTGGTGGGAACAGTTGATTTTAAAAGAGCTCTTGGCCCTTGTCTTCATGAATTTTCATTTCTATGTAAAATTCCTTACACAGGAACAGTGTCTCTCACTTTACAAAGTATTTTCGTGTACACTTTTTCATTTGATGCTCAAAATGACCTTCCTGAAATAGACATGAAGGTTTTAACTTCCAAAGGAGAAATCAGACAGCGGTTCAGGAAGGATAAGTCACTTGCCTTCTCGTCCAGAGTTCTTAATCCTTTTTATAGAAGGTTTAGGAGCACTGAGAGTCAGTAACTTAGTTCAAGTTAGTCCTCTCTTTTAAGACTTGATTTCTTATTTGGTCAGATTTAACTGGGGTTTTGAAACCCTTTAAATTAGATCCACAATTTGGCGGGGAGGGGAAAGAGTGAGGGAAACTCACTCTTTGAAGTCATGTGTTGAGGTGGTTTGGAAATTCACTTCAGCCTCTGAGATCTTTGTCTTCCCAAGAGGTGGATTTAAAGTCATTGAAAGATTGGAAAGAAAGGATTGGTAAGGGTGTCACTAACAAGCAGAGGTGGTAAAGCAGCAACATTGTGACTCCTGCCTGTGGCCTCACCTGTTGTTAAGGACTGGACGTTGGCTTATGAAGTGGCAATGTTTTATTGACAATGCATCCTGTCTTCCAACTTTGAAGGATATCTCATGTCGAAGGAATTGAGTTAATGATATCATGGAGGAGATTCAACTGGAACACCTGGAGGTGCTGTCCGAGGGCGGTGACATGTCTACTGAGACATGATGACGTTGGCCATGAGTTTTATCCTTGGAAGCCTGGTGTTGGCCTTCTGTCCGCCTTTTGTCATGACTTTGCCTAAAACACTGGCCATCCCTGAGAAGCTGCAAGAAGCTGTGGGGAAAGTCATTGTCAACGCCACCACCTGTACGGTCACCTGTGGCCTTGGCTATAAGGAGGAGACCGTCTGTGAGGTGGGCCCCGATGGAGTGAGAAGGAAGTGTAAGTCTCAGCGCTTGGAATGTCTGACCAACTGGGTCTGTGGGATGCTCCATTTCACCGTTCTCGCAGGCAAGAAATTTGAGCTGAGCTGTCTGAGTTCAGACATCCTGGAGATCGGGCAGGAAGCGTTCCAGTTCACCTGGAGGCTTGCTCGGGGTATCATCTCCACTGATGATGAAGTCTTCAAGCCCTTCCGAGCCAGTTCCCACTTTGTGAAGTTTAGATCTATTCACGAGGAGGACTCTGGGACCTACCGGTGTGATGTGCAGCTGTTAAAAAACTTGAGACTTGTCAAGAGGCTCTATTTTGGGGTGAGGGTCCTTCCTCCTCAGTTGGTGAAGCTGGATTTTCAGCAGTCCCTCACCGAGGATCAGAAGTTAGTAGATGAGGGCCTGGAAGTGGATCTGGGTAACTATTCCAGGCCTCCCCGTCCACCATGGAGAAAGAAGGTGGCTATAGCCTTGGGAATAGGAATTGCTAGTGGAGTGATTGCCAGTGTGTCGTTGGGCATTGCCTTGTGGAGTGGGCAGAGGGTGGGCCATAGCAATGCCAACCTTTAGACCTAATAGGCCTTGCTCCTGAAGGGCTGGCTGCCCAGGAAGTGGGACTTGACTGCTCAGGAAGCCAAGCTCGATTTTCAGGGGAGCATTCTGGCTGCCTGATTGTGGACCAGCCAGAGGGAGGGCTTCCAGAGCCAAAAGAGTGAGTGGGGATGTGGAGAAGGGACAGCATCCTGGTAGCAATGGGCAGTATCTCAACTGTGTCCCAGATGGACCTCTTCTTGAACTTCCCTGCCCACTAGGTACCCAGATAACCTTACTGCACGCATCTCCCCTTCTGCCGGGGACAGTTCTGTCTTCCAAACTTGCATTTATTTTCTACCCTTCACATCTTGAATGCCTCCCCACCACCTCCTCCCTTCTGAGCAGCATAATCACATAGAAGGGTATATATTAGTAATGGCTTTTCTAGTGGAAACACTTTTTTCCTCAATAAAAATAATGGACAGTAGCTGAATGGAGATACATCTTTCCTACTCTTTAGTTAAAAATCACTTGCGCTTGTTTCAATTGTCCCATAATCAGTTGGGCTTTCGTTTTCCTCAAATTTCTTAGAATAGATATTGAACAAATTGCTTTGTAGTGGGGCATAGGCCCCTGTGTACCAGAGCCAAGGTTAGCCATGACATCTGACTCAGTATATCATAGACCCTCACTAAATGTTAATAATTTATTAGCCCCTCTCCACCCTCCCAGGTGCATCCTCCCAGGTGAACTCTCTGTATTCAGTGTAACATTGATTCCTGGCAAAACACGGAGTCTTCATCTGACAGGTTTCCCCTGAAAAATTCCCTGGCTTGCCCCCTGCTTCTCTCCTAGCTCTCTCTGTGCCCTGGAGCATGTGTTCCTGGAAAGGTCAAGTGTATTTGGTTTCTTACAGCAGCCAAGGCCCCTTAAGGGAGGATTAGTACCTTCCTCCATGGGAAATCCAATCTAAGACCCTCAGAGGCCATTCAGACTGTCTGAGATAATTGGCTTGTAGAACCAGCAGGGAAAAGGCTCTTGGCTGCAGCTAAGCTAATTCTGAGAAAATTATAGCATTTCTTCACCTCACGTCTCTCTGGCTACAGAGGAGGTAGTAGAAACCAAGACTTGGACCAGTGGTTCTCTTCAAAAAACCCAAAACAAAACATCAAACCCATAGAGAAGTTGAAAGGTTTGGTGACACCCATAGACTCTTTACCTAAATTCATCAACTTTGAACATTTTGCTGCAATGATCTTCCTAAATACTGATTTTCCTGAACCACTTGAAAGCTAGTCACAGACACTGGCCTTTAGTCCTACATTATGTATGCACCTCCTAAGAAGGGCATTCCCTTGTGTGACGGCAATATCTTCATCACATCTAAGAAAATGAACTGTCCCCTAATCTCACATAGAATTGGTGTGTGTTTTTTAATTTTCCTAAAATCTTAGAGCTTTTTAATTTAATTTTTGATCCAGGAGCAAGTGAAAGTTAACATATTACATTTGGTTGTTTCTCTTACACCTTATTTTACAACAGATTGGCTGCTATTTTTGTTGTTTTTCATGACATTGATTTGGTTGAAGAGTTTAGCTAGGTCAGTTGTCTTGAATAGTGTCCCAAAATCTGGATTTGTCATTGTTTCCTGATGATAAGCTTCCGAGGAATGAATCTTAAACATTTTGACAAGAGCCTATGTAAACGATGACATGTACTTACTGCATCACCTCAGTAGGTGCATGATGCCAGTTTGAACTGCTGTTGCTAGGCCTCTCCAGAGGTATATATGGGGGTGGGGGAGGGGAGGGAGGCAAAAGTAGGTAAGTAGGTTTACAGCTAGTACTCAAAAGTTTATCCTTGTATTTATTTGTATTATAACCGTAAACCTACTTTTGCCCACCCCAGTATATTTTTCCCTTTTGTAATTAATCTGTGGGATGATACTTTGTGATTATCTGGTTTTCTAAAAAAAATGTCCACAAACATTTTGGAATCCATTCATGATCCTTATGATGGCATGTGGGGGTTGCAAACTGTTGATTCTTTACATTCATCATTTCTGTGTTTATTAGCCTGCAATTTTCTGTAAAGAAGAGCTGCTCTCTTTACTCTTTATTTTTGAGGTCTCAATGGATCCTCGTTTTTAGTCAGCGAATTGTATATAATTCATTACTGTTGTCATGTTTTTGATATTCAAATTGTCCCCAATTTTGGCTAGGAGGAGTCCCTTCAAGGCAGCTCTTTGTCCTTTAGATGTGATCTCATTTGACTTCGAATATGTCCTTGCTTCCTCGTATAAGAGTCTCAGGTCCACATTTGGACTTTCTCCAAACCGGACTCTGCTGTTTCTCCAGGGAGCTCTGCCTCCTGTGAGTGTGGGGATAGACACCAAGGGCTGGGACCGGATGTGCTTACTGCACTGGGGAGTCACCGCTTTTAGGTCCTTTCGGTGTCCTAGAGACATAGAAACCACAAGTCAAGGCATGTTTGTTTTGTGGGAGTGGCCTAGGACAGTGGTCTGCAAACTGCGGCTCGGCAAACCATGGCTTGCGAGCCACATGCGGCTCTTTGGCCCCTTCAGTGTGGCTCTTCCACAAAATACCACGTGCGGTTGAAACTTTGTGGCCCAGGCGCAGAAGTCGGTATTTTGTGGAAGAGCCGGTATTTTGTGGAAGAGCCACATTGAAGGGGCCAAAGAGCCGCATGTGGCTCGCGAGCCGCAGTTTGCCGGCCACGGGCCTAGGACATTCCGCTTCATAGTGAAGACTGAGGACCGCTGGCCTAGGCCGTGCACAGGGAGTCTTTACTACTGCTCTTATTTTGAGATCTTACATTTTACACACACATACACGCTCCCCTCCCTTTCTCTCTACCTCAGAGGGGATGGGTTTCAGAAGACCTGGGTTCTGCTTCTGTTTCTACTTTTGACTGTGCAATGGAGCAAGCTCTGACCCTCTGAGGTCCTCGTCTTTGAAACACTTGATTGTAAGGATCAAATGAGAGCCTGTGAGTAAAACTGCTTGGTAGACTGAAGGACTGGGCATGAGTGGGGCAGAGTTATTACTGATGTCTGTTAGTTCACTGCCTGACAGTTTGCCGGAGCCGTCAGGAGAGAGCTTACTATACTTTCAAAGGCCATAGAAACAACATCTGTGTAGGTAACTCGAGATGATATTGCTGAGGAGGGAGGAGGATGGGGGTACGGTTCCACATTTTACAGATGGAGACACTGAGACCCAAGAGGAGCCGAGTCACTTCTGTCACTTCTGCAGCACGTCGGTGGCCAAGCATGGAAGGAATGTTGTGCAGAGCTAGGTTTATAGCCTCTGCATGGCACTCTTGAATTTTGACTCTTGAGAGTGGGAAGTGATTGAACAGGGAAGAAAACAAAAGGCCCTCGATGTGTTAGTGAAGACTCAAACCCAATTCGGTTCATTGAATTCTGTGCATGTAATCAATCAGCCTTGAGGGGCAAGGAGATGCTGGCTGGACTAAAATTTGGGGTCTAGAGTGGCCAATGGTCCCAGCCACCCATTTGGGTGCAAAGTGAAAGGGAAGAGCCTGTTGAGGTATCATTGCCATCCACGTTGGCCCCTCAGGGGCCACTGTCAGCTGGCGCTGCTGCTGCTGCTGCACAGCTCCAGGCACAGGCTGAGTAGCGAGTAGAGGGGCCTCTGCCTGCCTTCGCCTCCCTGTTCCCTGAAAAAGGGAGGATCCCTGCCTGCTGTGCACGGAACGAATGGAACACAGGGCTGCACAAATGGCTCCCTGCGCGCACTCAGACGTAACGCAAGTGTGGCTGGTGTCGGCTGATGCTGAGAGAGGTTGCAGCTGGGAGCTCTGACTAGGAACTCCAGTTCTCTTGGCTGCTGTGAGCGGACACTGGAGGCACCTTTTCTCCAGGTGGGAGTCGCTGTGTCTCTTGGGTAGAGTTGAGTCAATACCTCCAATGTCTTAAAAACCCGGGGCACCTTGAAAGAGCACCATCACACAGGCACTGTTGACTGCCCATCGTGTTGTCTGGCAGAATGCCCGCCGTGTGCTGCTTGGGCTGCCCTAAACCTGGCTGATTCCCCCGCAGGACTGCATGGAGCAGCACGGGCTGCACGGTGTGACTGCCTTGAGTTGTCTGGGGGCAAGGGGAGGTATGGACAGGAGCCCGGGGTTAGGGAACAGGAGGAGGAGGAGGTGTGTTGGGGCTGATGATAAAACACTCATAGCTGGCGGGCTGCCTCCACAGGTGGAGAAACCGTCTTTATTTCAGAACTGCCTGCTACCAGAGTCAATAACTATTGTTACAAGAAGTACAAGAGAGAGACAGACAACAGGCCAGTGGGAGTGGTTCCATCTGTACAAACACAGAGTCAGGTCCCTGGTCCGAGGAAGCCCCAGGTCTTGCGGGCCCGGAGCCTTTCTCAGCTTTGCAGGCCCTGGAGAGGTGGGTAAGTTGGAGTGCGGGGACCAAGGCAGGGCCCAGCCCAAAAGGGCGCTAGGCTTCCTGGGCTCTAGGCAAAGCTACCTGGCCCATTTTTCCCTTCTCCAGTTTCCTTCTATGGTACCTTCCCCAAACCTATGACCATATACATAGACAGCTACCGGGCACCTCTTTCCATGGGGCTCATTGGCGTCCCTTTAAAATGCCTCGCTAGTCCCTCACACCACTCCAGGAGCCTCTGGCAACCTCATTCATCCCCAGGACACAGCCCAGTGAGGCCTCCCCAGGGAGATCGGCACCACACCTGGGCCTCAGGCCGGGTTTGAGGACACTTCTGTCCCTGCGACAGGAGCCCAGGTGGCAGTCCTTCTGAGACCAGGAGGACAGTCCTCTGGCTGGGAAGGGATACAGGAGTAAAATCGTCAGCCAGCCTGGGTTCTTGTCCAGAGCACGGACTGGGTGGTTCTCGGGATGGCTAGGAGGCAGTGCTGGGCATCGGGCTGCCTGGGTGAGCTCCCTCCCTCTGTGATGAGGCGGGGCCACCGCAGATGGGCGCCCCAGGACTCCTGTGCCGGCACCTTTGGGTCTAAGGATCTCAGCCCTGGAGGGACACCCCGCAGCATCTCCCCCCTCCAGGCCTCACCTCACTAGACTTTAGATGCCCACCTTCCTCAAGGCTTTCTTAGGAAGGTAGAAGCTTCTTGCTATCCAGGCTCTCGCTGCAGGTGTTTCTGTCTCACTTTAGTCTCTTTATCAAAAGAAAAAGCCTCCCCAGCCCCCCCTTCCTCCCCCTCCCCCCGCCCCTGACCTGGCCCTTCTATTTCCTGGCAGCATCTGGATCATTTGATGATAGTAGACAACCTGACTTTGATGGGCCCCAAGACCCCATCCTGAGAGAGCTGCCCTCCCTGGGCCTGTCAGAGCCACGAGACCAGGTAGCCAAGGCCACGGTGAGGAGCCTGCGGGCCGAGCCCGTGGACACTGAGCAGAGAAACTCCCCCGTCTCTGTCCCTGGTCCTCAAGGCACTTACTGGCCACTAAACTGGGGGGGACACAGTACTTGCTGCTTGGGCCTGGGATGAGAGAGGAGAGACCCAGAATCGAGCAGCAGAGGAGATGAAAATCGGAGGCCCCTGGGGCAGGAAGAGACTCCGAGAAACCATCTCCTCTACTCCGCCCCCAGGCGAGCTCCTGTCCAAGAGGCTGTTCTATTTCACAAGCCTGCGTGTCCTCATTCAACCTGAGCGCTCCCTGAAGTCTCCAGCCGCCAGGACGTGGTTTTAGTGTAGTCCTGCGTCCTGGAACAGGTCCTCCCGGCACAGTGGTTCACTTACCCTGGGACTGAGTTTTCCCAGTGAGAACCCCCCCTCAGCTCCCAGAGACCTGCCTTCCTCCCTTTTGCTAATGGGCCTCCTCAGAGCTAAGACACTGGTGGTGTCTGTTGACTCAGGCAAGCTTAGGACTGCAGCCTCCAGCTTCGCTGGTTAGGCACCGTGCCAAACCCCTCATCCCTCTAGGCCAGCGGTTCTCAACCTATGGGTCGCGACCCTTTGGGGGTCGAACGACCCTTTCACAGGGGTCGCCTAAGACCATCGGAAAACACATATATAATTACATATCGTTTTTGTGATTAATCACTATGCTTTAATTATGTTCGATTTGTAACAATGAAATTGGGGGTCACCACAACCTGAGGAACTGTATTAAAGGGTTGCGGCATTAGGAAGGTTGAGAACCACTGCTCTAGGCTCCCCTGGCAGTGAGGGCCCAGCACAGACGCCTGTCCCCTGCTCCCCTGGCAGTGAGGACAGAATCAGCTAAACCTTGGAAGAAGGTTTCTTCCTGTGAGCATCCCCTTTCTGACAGAGCAAGGCATGGCCTGATCACCGCCACGGAGGTCAGCACGGAGGCGAGGCCAAGTCTGTGGTCCCTGTAAGGGTCACAGAGCTGAGCCCAGCACCTTGCCTGGGGGGATGGATGGGAGCAGGCGAGGAGGGTGTGGCCTGGTCTCCAGGGAGGCAGTCCTGGGCTGGGGCGGTGTCGGTGCAGAGGTGGTGGGGAGAAGAGGTGTGAGCTTACATTTTTGAAAAAACTGTAGTGGGTAAAAACATCAACATAAACCTGCCCTGGAAAATAGAGCAGGACTTAAAAGTTTAAAAAACCATAGCAAAATAGGGCTCTCACTGTAAACGACAAAAACCAGGCATGGGGGCCCGTCCCCTACGAGATACCTGTCCTGATGCTTGTGGATGCCAAGGGCCACCAGTCAGCACGGGTTGTGCCGCCACTGCCCCTTGGGTTTGGGGAATCCCTGTCCTGGCGTTGGCCTCTGGGAACAAGGGTAAGGGGCACGGGGGCTTCAAGCCAGCACGGCATAGTGAGGTCTTAGCAGAAGCGAGGCTCCGAAGGCAAGGGCCTGATGTCTCCTAGAATCTGCCCACACCTTGGGTTGGCCCCAGCCAGGCTGCTCACCCCGTGATCACCCGCCAGAGTCTCCAGAAGCAGAATTTTCCACGCCCACTGTCCCTGACCACCGTAACAAGGGGGCCGGAGTTCTCATCTGAGCCCCGTCGCGGACTCGCTGTGTGACCCTGAGCCTTTCGAGCTCAGTGTCTTCCTCTGTAAAGTGAGGCGCTTGGACAAGGTGAGCTCTACAGCCTCATGTTCTGTGACTGGTAAGGTACCCAGAGCACAAGGCAGGAGGTCCCGTTTATTAACCCCTTTTCTTCTGGAGAAATGCCAAAGAACGGTCTGAGGCAGCCCGGGGGACGGGTCTGGCCAGGTGATCGGGTTTTCCTGGGCGCAGGCAGGGCCCTGTTTATCCTCTGTCCTTCTCAGAAGCCTGCGGTTCACTCTCCCAGGCGCCAGCGGGTCCGTGCGGGGGGAGTGGAGTCCTGCGCCTGCAGGCCGCGCTGGAGAGGGGGTGGGCACACACCCGTCTCTGGCCTCCTGCCCAACCCTGGAGGGACTGTGCAGAATGGGTCTTGGTGGGTGGGGGGCCTCCCCAAGGCAAGCCCTTAGGTCACCCAGCCACCTGTGGTGGCTGCTGTCACTCTGGGTGACAGGTCGGGTTGGCAGTGTTGGCTAAGAGGGCAGCGTCAGGCCAAGTCTGGTGCCCCTCCCCACCAGGTGTCCCAGCCTCTCAGTCCCTGTTAGCTCCCTCTCCCGCCCCCACAGTCTGGAGTATCACCCCCAATGCTGTAGGGGCTCAGCCATCAGGGCCCTGGTGCTCAGCCACCCGGTCAGGTGGCAGGAGCCTCCAGGGAGTCATCGAGGGCAGTGCCAGGGTCCAGCCGTGCTGCCCCTCGAGAAAGTAGGGGGATCCTTGGTCCCGGGGTGGCTCTCTCCTTAGACTGAGGGATGTTCATGTGTATGCCTTGTTCCACTTCAGCCGGGTCACATCCAGTGCTCCTGCTGGGTCTGGGGCGCTGCCCTCAGGGGACAGAGTCCATCTGCAGTCCCAGGATGTGAAGGGAATGTTTCCGATGCCCTTCTTCCCATAGGCCTGGCACCCAGAGGGCCCGGCACGGGTTCCGTATCATCATGGAAATTACTGCCTGGTGCCTCTTGATTTAAAAAAAAAAAAAAAAATCCTCGCATGGGTTCTAGCCAGTGGCAGAATATGAAATATTCTACCTCCTACGAAAGGGGCACTGTCTACAGTAGGTATTTAAAACCAGCCATCCTCAGGCACAGTGTTGGGCCGTCTTGGCATCGGGAGGGGCCGGGCCAGCTGGCGGCATCCTCGGAGGTGGTGTCCGGCGGTGGAGGGCGGGGCGCCAGGGTCAGAGCTCCAGGTGGCCGATGAGGACCAGCATGGCCATGGAGTGGGAGAGGATGGTGCTGGGGCGCAGGGCCGGGCAGACTGCTGAGTTCTCCACCATCATGCTTGTGTCTGGAAGGGGCAGGCAGAAACGTGGGGCAGGGTTGGCTGGGTACCCCGACCCCCACCACACCCCACTCTTGCGAGGGGACCCAGGCCTTTCTATGGAGGCTCATGGAGGGCAGGCTTCCGGACTGAGAGTCACACTCCTACGGGATTTTTCAGGGCCTCAGCCTCCCCCTGGCCCCCTGAGAAGAGCATGCTCACCTCCCCAGCTCTCAGAGGGGTGAGGGTTGGGGGTGGGGGGGCAAGGGCACTTCCAGGACTACTTTGTACTTGGTTCCTGCCTGCTGTCCCCTTTCCCCTTGGGGTCTGGCTGGACTGGGTTTGCCTTGGGCAGGAAGGATTCCCTCGTCAGGCATCTGAGTGGACCCTGAGACTCCCGGGGGGAAGGGGTGGGGGGAGGCGGCACCTCCGTTCCTCACGATGTGGACTTCTGCCGGGGTTCCGTCGCCTCCAGGCCCCGTGGTCCGAATCTGCACCAGGGCATAGCCGATGTCTTCAGGGACGGCAACCTCTATCCAGTTCTTGCTGGTGAGGTGGAGCGTGGGCGTCGGGTGTATGTCATTCTGGTACAGCATCTGTGGGAAGGTTGGGCAGTGGCGTCACTTACACCAGGGCCGATTCTTCCCCCTCCCTCGGCCCGAGGCACCGGGCCCAGGAGGGCCTGCGTCCTCACCCCTCCTGTTTCCTGTTGACCAGGACCAGGCTCTTCAGCAAGCGCGTCATTGGTGGAGAAAAGCTTGCAGCCAGCTGCACTGTTTTTGCAGACCCCTTAGGCTGGAAGGACCCCAGGCTCCCCCAGGCCACCACGGCCCCCCTGAACCCTGCCTTCCTGCAGCCATACCACCTCGCCCCCTTTCTTATAGTGGCCACTACAAGTTACCTGGAGACCCATTCGTATATCTCCTCTTACATCTAACGCAGGTCCCTTCTGCTACAAAGCGCAGCCCTCTGTGTTCCCTGCGAATGCAGACGAGCCGTTCCCACCATCCAGTGCTTGGCCGATCCCTTCCTACCTTATAGCCCGTGACCGCAGACTCATTGCGAAGAGGCACCACAGGGTCCCACTTAATACTCAGACTGGAGCTCGAGAACGTCCAGGAGATGTTGCCGGGAGGTCGCCGAGGAGCTGCCGGAGGAGGGAGGAAGTTGGGCGGGCTGACCTGTGAGTGTGTCCTCACCACCCACCCCTTGCCTTTGGCCAGCCTTTTCCTGAGTGTCCGCCTAGCCGCTGCACCCAGAACATCCGTCACAGCTGCCTCAGAAACAAACCCCCTGAGAACCCACAGGTGGGAGAGGCTGTGAATCCGAGTCCCATTCTCACGAGGCTGCTGCCTCATTTCCGTCCAGCCAGGCTTGTGGGCTGGAGCATTTGTCTTGCACCGGGGGAAAGAGTGATCCTAGAGACACCCCCTCCCACCCCAAACACACTGTCCCCCACCCCAAACACACCTGTCCCCCACCCCAAACACACTGTCCCCCACCCCAAACACACCTGTCCCCCACCCCAAACACACTGTCCCCCACCCCAAACACACCTGTCCCCCACCCCAAACACACTGTCCCCCACAGTCTCCCACCCCAAACACACTGTCCCCCACCCCAAACACACTGTCCCCCACCCCAAATACACTGTCCCCCACCCCAAACACACTGTCCCCCACCCCAAACACACTGTCTCCCACCCCAGGCCAGCAGACTCACGGGGCTTCATGGTTGTGGCATTGGCAGACGGGCTGGCAGGCCCAGTACCCGCCCGGTTGTAGGCCCGAACGGTCACATGGTACTTGGTGTTGGGGTGCAGGTCAGTAACTCGGGCAGTGTTGTCCAGCCCTGCCGTCCTCACACGGTCAGCGGCTGCTTCTTTGTCCCCAGCTTTCCAGTAGCGGATCTGAAGGGGCCGGGATACCCTAGGTTCAGCGGTCAGTGCAGGGCTCCCCCGACTCCGGACCTGGCCCCCACATTCTGTTCCTCTCCTGCTCCCTGAGTGGGGAGTAACTCCTCAGTGGGGCCTGCCTAACCTGTAGTGCTAACACCCAGCTGACTCTGATGGAACGGTATGAACCACATCCCTGGGGACCGGGCGGATGGCTTCCTTAGGCAGTGACATCCTTGCTTCTTCACCCCTTCCTCCTGGCTACCTCGCCCCATAGTGTGGGCTCATCGGTGGGCCCAGGGCTCAGGTCAGAAACCGCTGGGTCCAGAGTTCCGTAGGGACAGGATGATCAGTTGGTACCCAGAGGGGGCCATGCTGTTCCCTGCAGCCCTGAGGATGCTGAGCTAGCTGGACTCTGGTATGAGAGGGGCAGGCCATGCCCCTTCCAGAACCTGCCCCTCTTCCCCAAGTCCCTCCTCTCCTAGGCCCCTCCCAGTGGTCGGCAAACTCATTAGTCAACAGAGCCAAATATCAACAGTACAACGATTGAAATTTCTTTTGAGAGCCAAATTTTTAAAACTTAATCTATATAGGTAGGTACATTGTTATTAACTTAATTAGGGTACTCCTAAGGCTTAGGAAGAGCCACACTCAAGGGGCCAAAGAGCCGCATGTGGCTCTCGAGCCACAGTTTGCCCACTGCGGCCTAGGCCCCTCCACCCTCGGCCCCTCCACCCTCCTCCTGCCCCAGGCCCCGCCTGCCCCAGGCCCCGCCTCTCCTAGGCCCCGCCTCTCCTAGGCCCCGCCTCCCCTAGGCCCCGCCTGCCCTAGGCCCCGCCTCCCCTAGGCCCCGCCTGCCCCAGGCCCCGCCTCTCCTAGGCCCCTCCTCTCCTAGGCCCCTCCTCTCCTAGGCTCCCGTAGCTCCCGTGCAGGTGCTGGCCTAGCATCTCAAAGCTGTCTACAGGCCTGTCTTCCCCGTGGGCACCAGCCATTGGTTCTCAGCTAGAGCTGCATTCACAGTGCTGCACAGACTGGGTGCTGTTTGCCAGGTGAGTGAATGAGTGCTCCAAGGAGGGAGAGGGAGAGAGAGAACCACCGATCGGCCTCCCGTCGCGCGCCCCACACCGGGGACCAAGCCCACAACCCCAGCATGTGCCCCGACCTGGAATCGAACCGCGACCCCCTGGTTCACAGGTCGACGCTCAACCACTGAGCCCCGCCGGCTGGGCGGCCTCCCCCAACCTTCAACCCCAGCCTCCTCCCTCTCCCAGGCCGCAGGTCAGTGCTCACCTCGTAGCCCAGGAGGACCCCGTTCGTGTCCTGCGGCACCGCTTCCCAGGTCACGTTCATCTCTGAGGAGGAGACCCCCTTGGCCCAGACCTTGGTCGGGGCCACCCTGGGCTCTGGGGACCGATACAGAAGGGGTTTGGGTTCCCAGGGCCTCCTCGCGTCCTACCGAGCAGCCACCAACCCCGACGGCCCTTGCTAAGATCTTTAGGTCCCAGGGTCCAGGACCAAGGCCACGGGGTCCCCGAGGGCCTCCGTTTCCTTCCCAGGCCTGAGGAGAGCCCAGGTGGCAAGGGCTGGAAAGGAGGCCAGCGGCTGAGAGCCCCAGGCCTGTCTTCCCCGCGGGCACCCCGCGTCCTCTTCACCCCACTGCGGGACGGAGGGGGGAGTCTTCCCCGCGGGCACCCCGCGTCCTCTCCACCCCACTGCGGGACGGAGGGGGGAGTGTTCCCCGCGGGCACCCCGCGTCCTCTCCACCCCACTGCGGGACGGAGGGGGGAGTAGCAGCCGTGAAGGGGGGGCAGAGGGTGGGCCCGGGTCACCCACCTTCCTCCGCCGAGTACACGAGGGCAGTGAGGCTCTCCGGCCCGTCCCCACGGCGGTTGTAGCTGCGGATCTTGACCTCGAAGGGCGTGTAGGGCCGGATGCTCTCGTTGCTGTAGACGAAGAACTGGGCGTCGGCGCCGGGCACCCGCGCGCTCTGCCAGCCGGCGCTGCCCTGCCTGCGGAAGGACAGCAGGTAGCCGAAGCCGTCTCCGTTCTGGTACTCGCGTGACATGGGCTGAGGGGCAAGAGCGTGGCACGGGTGAGGGCCGTGGGTGCGTTCCCTGCCCATCCTGCGCCCCTACCCAACCTTCACCAGGAGGCGCTCCTGCGGGAGCCGCGGGTGCCGGGGAGGGAGAGGGCGGTGGCGTGGGACTGGGTAGTGGCTCTGTCTGGGTTCTCCCTGCAGCAGCCCCGCCCAGAGGCGAGTCAGGACTGGGGGAGAAGGAGGGGGAAGGACTTGTCCCCCAGAGAACTGGAGGCACGGTTCGCCTCTGTCCAAGCGCTTACCGTCCAGTTGACAATGAGCTCGCCAGGGGCTCCCCCGCCTCCGCTGAGCCCGGAGGGTGCCACGAAGGGGGCTGTGGGGACCAAGGGACACAGATGTCAATGGGCTGGTGAATGGGCAGCGAGGGAACAAGAGCCCTGAGCCTGAGCCAGTGAAGTGACCTAGGGTGGGGCCCCCCTTCAGATGGGCCCTGGTTTTGTCCTCTAACAGTCCCTCTGGACGTGGGCCCTGGAGTCAGGCAGACCCAAGATCAAATCCCACCTCTGCCATTTACTAGCTGTGCTTCCCTGAGCAAGTTACTTAACCTCTCTGTGCCTGATTCTGCCTCCGTAGGAGGAGGATTCTGTTCCTCTCAAAGGGCTGTAAAGAGAATAAGATTAAAAATGACAGTGGCGAGTGTGTGTGAGTGTTTCTCTGTGTGCGTCTGTGTGTGTGTGTGTCTGTGTGTTTCTCTGTGTCTGTGTATGTTTCTGTGTGTGTTTCTCTGTGTGTCTCTGTGTGTTTCTGTGTGTCTCTGTGTGTCTCTGTGTGTTTCTCTGTGTCTGTGTGTGTTTGTGTGTTTCTCTGTGTGTGTGTGTCTGTGTGTGTGTGTTTCTCTGTGTGTGTGTTTCTGTGTGTGTGTGTGTGTGTGTGTGTATTCCATCAATGATGATTGCCTCCTTCCCTCCTGTCGCTGAAACTAAATAAGAGACCAGCTCCCGTGTGCTTTAAATTCAGGGGAATGAGTAATTCAGAATGTAGTTGACACAAAAACATTTATTTTGGGTTGCAGGGTGTTTTACTTTTTTCTTTTGTGGCAGAATTAATTTCCCAATTGTCTCTATCATTCAACAAGGCTGATATTAAAACAAGGATATAGTTCATCAGCTCATGAAGCTTGACAGGGGGTAACTTGGCTGAGGATCAAAATATTTCTGCAGCGATTAGAGTCTTATGACTTGGTTTGATGACCATAGCTTGGGGCCTTGTCACCTGCAAGGAGCGCTTAATCGCAGTGCCCATCTGGTTCTGCGAGCTGGGCGTCATTGTCCCCCTTTCAGGGCGGAAGGACTAAGGCCCAGTGTGGTTAAGCGACTTGCCTGAGGTCACAGAGCGAAATGGCACAGCTAGAATGTGCACTCAGTTCTGATCCCAAAGCCCCTCATCTTTCCTCTGCGTCACAGCGGCCTCTGTGTGCTCATGAACTCTTGGGGCGCAGAGTGAGGAGACTGCCGCCCTCCCACCTGGCCCTGCCGGAAGCCCAGTCCACGTGCCCCTGGAATTCCGTCCTCAGGAGGGTCCCAGTCAAAGCTGTGGAATGGTTTCAGAAAGGGCCCGGAGTCAGCCCGGGGCACCCAGGAAACTATGTGGAAGGGGCACGAGGAGGCAGACCCCACTGTACCTCCAGGGGGCAGGCCTGTGGGGCAGGAGAAGGGGAGGCAGGGTCCTGGTTCCCTGCTGCCCGGCCGGGGCCCCAGGGCTCTGTGGACCAGAGATTGCTCTAGGACGTGTCCTTCCAGCCAAAGGGTCCTTCCAAAACCCTCATAGAGACGGCATGATGCCTAGTCTGACATAAACCAGCTCTCCTCCTGCTTCCGGCTGGTTCCTGGACTAGGCCCTTGTCCTGACCTGGTTAAGAGGGAGAGTAATTTCCCGCACCTGCACCTGTAGAGCCTAGTTAGTAGCTGTGACGACTCCCCCGTTTACCCATCTACTTCTGGTGCCGGCAGGCGGCACGGAATGTCCACTTCATCTTGCAGCCGCAAGACCCCGCCCATGTTGTTTCCGTTCCTAAACTCTGTTAACTGCCAGGCAGTGTCCTGCCTCTTTCTCAGGTCTTTCCCTGCCCCCACTTCTGGGGTAGATTTCCAGTCCTGGGACCCTGCCCTGGGGCTGGTGGACAGACAGGCTCTCGTGCTGGGCCTTTGCCTGGGAAAGGCTCAGAGGGCGGGCAGGAGCCTCTCGGCAGATGCTGACCAGCCCGTCTCCCCCTCCTGCCCCACTCAGATTCGGACACTGACTTTCAGGAGGGCTGTGGGCAGACAGCCATTCCTCCTGCTCCCCAGGGAACCATCCGGAGGACTGGGAGACACTGGCTGCTTCCCGAGGCCCCTGCACAACACACACACACACACACACACACACGCAGAGTCACACACTCATAAACACTCACACATGCTCACACATGTTCACACACACACTCTCACACACACACACACACACACACGCAGAGTCACACACTCATATACAATCACCCCTGCTCACACAGGTTCACACACACACACACACGCACACACGCAGAGTCACACACTCATATACAATCACCCCTGCTCACACAGGTTCACACACACACACACACACACACACACACACGCAGAGTCACACACTCATAAACACTCACACATGCTCACACATGTTCACACACACACTCTCACACACACACACACACACGCAGAGTCACACACTCATATACAATCACCCCTGCTCACACAGGTTCACACACACACACACACACACACACGCACGCAGAGTCACACACTCATAAACACTCACACATGCTCACACAGGTTCACACACACACACACACACACACACGCACGCAGAGTCATACACTCATATACAATCACCCCTGCTCACACAGGTTCACACACACACTCTCACACACAGTCATATATTCACACTCACACTTACACACACACACCTTCCTCATAACTGATTTCTGCAGTTCGTGCACTTCCAGGGAGGACATCTGCCCAGCACCCCAGGGTCCTGGGTTCAAGTCCAGGCTCTGCCAGTGCGACCCTTCCCTTCTCCAAACTTCGTTGTGTTTTATTTCCCCAGTAAAAAACCATTTTTGTTTTGAGATATCGTAGATTCACATGGAGCTGTAAGGTTGCCCCATGTTTTAATGAGGGCCTTGGTCAGGCCATGGTCAGTGCACAGGGCTGTGTGCAGAGCAGTGGCTGGCCCTGGCCTGCGTCGTTTCATGTTGCGTTAGAGTCTGAAGCCCGGTCAGCAGGCCTGGGACTCTGTGAATTGGTCTTGGCCTGGGGCTCCCTTGGAGGAGGGCTAGTTTCTGTGCCTGAAGTTACTGCACTTTGGGACACCAGGACTGACCTGCTTCCTTGGTCCGGATTTTGCTGGAGGGCCCACTGGGCTCCCCAGTGCCCAGGATGTTGCTGGCTATGACCCGGAACTCATAGTCCATCCAGGGTGTGAGGCCCAGCACCTGGGCGGTCTCCGCGTTGCCCTCGATGTTGGCGGGATCTGCAAGGCACGGAGGAGTCGGTGGTCTGAATGGAGAGGGCAGGGCCGGAGCCTGGCCCACCTCTTTGTGCCCAGCCCTCGGGTGGGGCCTGACACATACAGAGCACTCAATACCTCTTCCAGAAATGCCCAGAAAACTAGTCCTCCCCGCCCTGGAGCCTCTGCTGGTGTCGTGGGCACCCCACACCCCCGTGCATGCAGTCATTGCCCCAGTAGCATTCCTGCCAGTGCTCAGGGAGCAGACAGAGGGCCTCCTCCTTCAACTCTCCCTGTCCACGTGCCACCATCTCCCCACTGGCCTGGGAGCTCTCTGCAGGCAGATGGCCCAAGCTTGTCCCTCTTTGAAGCTCCAGGCTCAGCCCCAGCCCTCTGCCCCCTGCCCCCACTGCTGGCACACAGCCAGGCCTTGTCCATCCTGAGAGTGCAGGATGCTTACTGGTCCGAACTTGCTTCCACTTCCCTGCAGGCGGAGTGCGAGCTTGCAGGGTATACTTGGCAATGGGGCTGTGGTTGTCGAAGCCACGGCTCCAGCTGAGCTGGACAGTGGTGTCGCCGATGTCCCTTACCACCATGCCTCCTGGGGGGCCCGGGGGACCTGCACCAGAGGTCAGAGCATTGTGGGTCAGAATTAGGCAGCTTCCAATTTGAGACAACCTCCCCCAGGCTGGTTTGGGCTGGTGAAGTACCAAGTGGGGTCAGCAGAGGGCGCCACAAACACAGGCTCTGGTGGGAGAGTGAGGCATGGGGTTTGCGTGGTGGGTGGGATGTGTCCAAGGCTGGAGGGGTCACAGAGACCCTCACAAAGGGACGTGCACTGACTTCCCAGCACTGAAAACTTCTGGCCTCAGCAAAGTCCTCCACTCTTGGGATGTGGTTGGGGACGCTTTCTAAAATGTTGGCTTTGGAGGAAGACGATTCTATTCACCTAGGGCAGGGGTTCTCAACCTTCCTAATGCCGCGGCCCTTTAATACAGTTCCTCATGTTGTGGTGACCCCCCAACCATAAAATGATTTTCGTTGCTACTTCATAACTGTAATTTTGCTACTGTTATGAATCGTAAGGTAAATATCTGATATGCAGGATGTATTTTCATTGTTACAAATGGAACATAATTAAAGCATAGTGATTAATCACAAAAACAATATGTAATTATACATGTGTTTTCCGATGGTCTTAGGTGACCCCTGTGAAAGGGTCGTTCGACCCCCAAAGGGGTCGCGACCCACAGGTTGAGAACCGCTGATCTAGGGTCTATGACTCTGTGAGGAACCTCCAGATAAGTTCGGCTCAGCGAACTTCTGTCAGAAACACTTCCCCACAGCTCAGGGAGAGGCGGGGAATTAGGGAGCAAAGATGAGAATAGCTCAGCTGAGGGAGTTGGGGTGGGGGTGGCAGTGGGAAACCCCGTCACCTCGGACCAGGACTGTGGCCTCCTTGGATGCACTGTCCACCACCGTCTGGGCCATGCAGGTGTACTTCCCACCGTGGCGCAGCTGGGCGTTCAGGATGGTCAGGTCTCCAACTGTCTCCTTCTGCACACGGGGGACAGGGAGCGGGCAGGTCAGGGGGTGCAGATCCGGCCAGTGCACTGAGTCCGGCCCTCCCTGTATCTCGGTCCCATCTGTTCAGTGGGAGGAATCAGCTCCTCCCCACTTAGTCCCCCCGGGGACCAAACACAGTCTGTGACACGAGACAGTCAACAAGGGTCCAAGTGACTGACGCCATTGGCGTTGGGGGGCAGGATCACAACAGTGGGAGTGAGTGGCCGAGGGCCCTCCAGGCCTGTCCCGCATCTCTCCTAAACGCACGGGCAACTGCCACTCTAGGGAGGATGGTTACGAACCCGAGAGCGAGTCTGCCCTGGCTGGCGTTCCCGAGGGAGAGGGGAAAGGCTTTGGGAGGTCAAGGCCATCTCGGGCCCCCTGTCTATCCCAAAGGAGGGAGGGGCTCTGGGCTCTCGGCCTTGGCCCTCACCGCACTGGCCCTCCGGTAGTGACCCCCAGGCTTGTCGGGGTCGATGGGGAAGTCGTCCAAAGCCCAGATGAAAGTGAGCTCCATGGTGGGGTCGTGGGAGGCGTGGCACTGCAGGGTCAGGTTGTCGCCCAAGTTGATGTCGGCACTGGAGGGGGCTAGGGTGATCTTGGTCGCATCTGCCAAGAAAAACAAGGCCTCTGGGTGGGTGAGGGGAGAGGTTTGTCCTAAGTCCCAGGAATGAGGAGGGGCAGCGTGGCCAACGTATCCGGACCTCCCAGCAGCCCCACGGGTGTGTGGGAAGGAGGCAGGACTACATCCTGGATGGGGGCGAGAGGGTGGTCCCAAATGAACCCGGGTCCTGGAGTGGGAGGAACGTGGGACTCCAGGGCTCGGTGGTGAGGAGGGATGGTGCCCCCGTGGCCGAGTCCACCACCCTCAGCCACGCCACACCCTTACCTCGCACAGACAGGATGCCCGTGCTGTTGGCTTTGCCCATGAAATTCTCAGCGAAGCAGGTGTATTTGCCTTCATCTGACCGACTGATGTTTCTTATGATCAAGGTGCCATCCGGAGTGACTGTCACTCTGCAGCCAGGACAGAGCCGATGTGGCCAACCCGGGGACGCACACGGTCCGGGGAAGATTGCGGGGGAGCAGGAGAGGCTTGGGGTGGGGTGCGGGCGGTACCTGCTGCTGTTGACCAAGATCTCGGTGCCTTTGCTCCAGAGCACCACGGCCTTCGGGGCTGCCCGGGGCTGGCAGGGGATCATGACCTCTCCCCCGCGGGCTGCAGGGATCAGGCGCCGTACCGGATTCAGCCTGAAGTCGGGGGCCAGTGCTGGAAGGAAAGGGGAGCACCCCACAGTCACCCGGGGCGTGTACTAAGCACTTTATGTACCTTCGTGGTCAGTCCGTGAGTGATCCTTAGAACACCACTTCCAAAATACACCCGGAATCCACCCCTTCCTATCACCCACTACCCCCCCCCCCCACGCGCTGCTACAAGCCCCACACCCCCTGCTGGGCTGTGAAAAGGCCCCCACATCGGTCTTCCTGTTTCTGTATTTTCTTTCTGCAATTCTTTCCCACCCAGCAGCCAGGGGTATCTTTTTTAAAATGTGAATTAGGCACTCAGAATGAAGTCCAGCTTCTCACAGGGACTCACAGCTAAGTCCCTCTCTCCAATCCCATCTCACCCCACTCTGCCCCTCACTCAGTGTGCTCCAATCACCTGGGCCATTTCTGTTCTTTGAAAATGCCACCTTTTTTCCTGCCCCAGGGCCTTTGCACTGGAAATCCCCCAGATCTTCACATGGCCGGCTCCTTCTTAACACTCGGGTCACATCCTCAAAGCAACTGCCTCAGAGAGGTCTTCTTTGACCACCCACCTCCCCGCCTCCCCTCCTCCTACCTCACTATCAGATTTTCTTTAGTCTGTTTTTTTTTTGTCTATTTTTTTAGTCTGTATTTTTAATGGCTGTCTGAAATTATCTTTTTTTTTTTTAAAATATATTTTATTGATTTTCCACAGAGAGGAAGGGAGAGAGACAGAGAGTCAGAAACATCCATGAGAGAGAAACATCGATCAGCCGCCTCCTGCACACCCCCCAACGGGGATGTGCCCGCAACCCAGGCACATGCCCCCGACCGGAATCGAACCTGGGACCCCTCAGTCCGCAGGCCGACGCTCTATCCACTGAGCCAAACCGGTCTCGGCTGAAATTATCTTATTTAATGATTTGATTTTGTGTTTATTTGCCCTCTTTCTCTACTGAATTGAAAGATACTTGAAGGCAGAGACCTTACCTGAGGAGGCACTGAATACATATTAGTAGAATGAACAAATGAATGAATGAGCCTTCCTTAAGCCTCACTACAACTTATGAGGTAGGCATCACTGTGCCCATTTTACAGATGAGAAGACTAAACTTTCATGAGCTCGAGTCACACAATAAGAATATGAGCAGCTGCCAACAGTTACTGGGCACCTGTTATGCTTTGGGCAGGTCCCTCATGCTTTACCTGTCATCTTATTGAATCCCCGCAACAGCTGTGTGAGGGCAGGACTACTGCCCACATTTTACAAATTAGTAAACAGACACAGAGCTGAAGGGTCAGGCTAAACGCTAATCTAATTGATCTGGTTTCCGATGACTTTGCCATCTTTTTTCCCCCCACTGCAACAAACATTTAAATTGTGCCAGACAGAGAACAAGCCACCTCATCTCCTTTCTTAAATCCCTGAGTTCTACTCAGAAACTGGTGGAAAACGAAGGAAAACTGCCAGGTGTGTTGTGTGTTTAGAAACGCTGCCTGTCGGCTCCTAGCGCCCCACCTGTGCCCCCCGGGGGTGTCCCCAGCCTCCCTGGGCCCTTTACCTTGCACGGCCAGCTCAGCGCTGGCGTAGATGGTGCCATGCTTGTTCTCTGCCACACACTGGTACATGCCTGAGTCGTCCAGGCTCAGCTTGGAGAACCGCAGGTCCCCGGCCAGCACCTCTACCCGGGTCTGTGCAAAAGAGCGGGGCGCAGGGTGGGCCAGGGGCATCAGGACCACTGGAGGCCCAGGGTGGAGGGGCCCGCTCCCTGGAGGAGGGGCTCAGATGCCGGGTCCCATCTCAGAGTCGCCTGGAATTCAGGACTTGATTCATTGGGCCTCCCTGTACATCAGCACCGAGGCCAGAGGGAAGAAGTGACCCACTCAGGACCACACGGTGTTTCTGTGGCTGAGTTGTGCCTGGACCTCAGTCGGGAGTCTATCCAGTTGACCAGCCTGTGGCCAAGTGACTCTGGGATGGAAAGAAGCACCTAGAAACACCCTTTAGCTCAGAGGTGGGGGTGGGGTGGGGGGGCAGGGGCGTGGGAGGAAGCCCCAAGTCCGCTACCTGGGAGGCCAGAGGCTCCCCATTCCTCAGCCAGCGCACCGTGGGTCGGGGCTTGCCGGCGGCTGCGCAGCCCCAACGCAAGCTGGACCCGATGTCAGCTTCCATATCCGAGATCACCTTCAGCCACTCGGGCTGGGCTGTGGGGAGCGAGGGAGAGAGAGAGGTTGGAGTTGAGCAGGAAGGAGCCTCCAGCTCATGGAATGGGCCGGGATTGCAGCGCTGCAGTTCCTGCGTCTGACAGCAGAGGGAGCCGTCAGCATCCCGCGATGTGGTGAGAAGCGGCTCCAGCAAGTTGGCACATGCAGCCCGTGCCACTGGCTGTCTTAGCAACTTAAACCCTCCTAACGCCTTCCACGTGTTTTCTGTAACACCAGCTGAAGCGCTGAGCTGGCCACGGCGCTAGCCTCTTCTGTCCCCACACCCAGGGCAGTCCTGGAGCCCGAGGCTTAAGCAAGGGGCCTCCCAGGCTCCTCCCTGGCTTTGGGATGGACTGCCTCGGTTGGAGACCAGGATGCAGGTGGGGAGAGGGGTCCTCGTACCCTGCACGATGATGCGGCCCTGGACGCTGTCTCGGCCCTTGGAGTTCTCCGCCTCACACTCGTAAGTGCCCTCGTCCTCGAAGCTGACGCTGGGGATCTGCAGGGTGGGCTCAGCGGTGGCCCACTGGGGGGACAAGGAGCCATCCACTTTGCGCCACTTGATCCTGGGGACAGGGCTGGCAGGGAGACAAAGCGAGGGGGGTGCACTGAGCTAGTCAGACGCCCCTGTGCGGGCAGCTCCCCACACCCAGACCCTCAGGTCCTCCTGAGATGCTGGGCAGGTGGGGGTGGGGAGGCGGGCACTCACCAGGGGCCTGGGAAGGGCCTCTCCCGGGTGAGCCTGGAGCACAGACAGGGGAGGGACAGAGAGGGGGCTCCCTCCTCCCTCCACGCCCCTGAACAGTGTGGAACCCGTGAATATGGTCTTCTGTGTGGTCTGTGCCAGAAGCTGACTGGCCCTCTTGCCCCCACCCTGTGCTGACCGCCGTGCCTCTCCTGGGCCGGCCCTCGCCAACAGTGGCCTGTGACCTGGGTCTTTATGGGCCCTTTCCCCCTCTCTCCAACAGGGCCTGGACCTCTACTTTCCACAGGGCCTCTTGTTGTTAGTAACCTGTGCACTAAAATGGACGGAGGTGTCAGTGAGTCTTTACATCTGGATTATCTGGAAGCCCAATAGCTCTCCACCAAGCAGGGGACAGCCTGGGCTTCCTCAAATAGCAGGAGATAGTCATTCTACAGATATGTATTGAGCACCCACAATTTGCGTAGCCTGTCCCAGTGAATCCTTTTCCTGGGAGAGCATGATTTCTATCACAGTTTTTAAAAAGGTAACTGTTGCCCTAGCCAGTTTGGCTCAGTGAGTAGAATGCTGGCCTGCAGACTGAAAGGTCCCGGGTTCAATTCCTGGTCAGGGCACATGCCCGGATTGTGGGCTCGATCCTCGGTAGGGGGCTGCAGGAGGCAGCTGATCAATGATCCTTTCTCATCATTGATGTTTCTCTCTCTCCCTCTCCCTTCCTTTCTGAAAGAAATAAAAATATATTAAAAAGTAAAATAAAATAGAAAGGTAACTGTCAGCATCCACAGAAGCCTTACTAAATGCCAGGCTCTGTCCTGAGCACTTCATGTATATTAACTCACTGCCTCCTCTAATGACCCTGTGAGGCAGGAACTATTATTATCACCATGTGCAAATAAGGGGACGGAGGCACAAAGAGGTTAAGTAATTTGCCCAAGGCCCCCCAGCCAGCAAGTGGCAGAGTTGGGATTTGAACCAGGTAGGCCGGGTGTTTAGGCCTCACTGCAAACGGTGGGCCTGGCACTGCTAGACCCTGAGAGAGGCACCAAGATGACTGAGTGCTGCCCCCGCCTCCCCCCTTTCTCTCTGGGGTCACCCGTGTCCTGCCCGCCCTCCCGCCTCCACCACTCACTTCCCGAAGGCAAAGCACTCCAGGGTGACCTGCTGTCCCAGCAGCGCGTATGTCTCCGCTGGGAACCGGGCCTTAATGCTGGGCGCGAAGAGCCTGGGATCTGGGGCGAGAGGGTTTGGCAGGTCGGATGCTAGAGGCCCGGGCCAGGTGCTCCCGTGCCAGGATCGCAGCCCAGCTCAGCGCCGACTCCATCCTAAGTCCCTTTCCCCGTGGGGACCTGGGCCGAGCGACTGAGGTCTTGTAGCAGGAGGACCCGGTGGTTTGGGCCCCAGACCCTGTGCCCTGTGAGCTGCTTCACAGCCTCCGAGGGAAACCCCTTTCCCCACACCCCCTGCCCCTCAGCCCTCTCCGCCCGGCCTGCCGGCCGACCCTGACCTTCAGCGGCCAGGTTGAGCTGAGCAAACTTGCTGAAGACGCTCTTGGTGGAGAAGTCCATGTGGCTGGTGGCCAGGCAGGAGTAGTTGCCCAGGTCCGAGGCGTTGGTCCGGGCGATGTACAGGTTCCCTGTGGTCTGGGACACGAAGTGCCTCCCGTCCGTCGGGATGAAGTTGGGGAACTCATTGAGGAGCCAGCGGTAGGACAGGCCTAGGACGGGGGGAGTATGAGGACACCGGGGGGTGTTGGGCTAACAGGCGACTCTGGGGGGGACCCCGACGTGCTGGTGGGGGTCTGCAGACCCTCTCCTGAGAGCCCGTTCTCTGAGCTGAGCTGGGCGGAGGGGAGACCTAGAGGGAAGATTGCCCTTTATCCCTGCCCCTGGGAAGTGCAGTGCACCTGACAGCGAGCGGCCCGCAGGGACCTCCCAGCCGGAAGGGGGAGGCAGGGCTCAGTGCTAGGAAATGATGGGCCCATGAAGGAACCACCACTTAAGGCTGAGGGCCCAGGGTGAGCTTCCAGGCTCCACTCACCACCTTCTATCCACCCTCTGCGAGCAGCTGGCACTCTCCTAGGCCCTCTGTCTAACCAACCACGGGCCCGGGCCCGACGCACCTGGATAGTGGGCAGGGGGGTTACAGGGCAGCATCACTCCCCAGCCCGCATGGGCTTTCACGGGGTCCCGCTCCTCCTTGGAGAATTCCTGCAGGACTGGAGGGAAGACCAGGCCGTGCTCAGGCACCGTTCTCCCGCCCACCGGGCTCTCCCACGCAGCCGCCTGCCTCTTCTGGACACTCCTCCCAGCCCCCTCCCCTCCCCCCGAATGTCTGGCACCCCCCTCCCGCCTGGGTCTGGTCTCACAGCCGAAGCGCAGGACGGCCTCCCTGCTGACCACGGTGCCCACGGGGTTGGAGGCCAGGCACTGGTAGACGCCAGCGTCCTGGGCCTTGGTGGGGCTCATGATGACCAGGTTGCCTCCCACCAGCTGCTGGCGGGAGCCTGGCTCCAGCTTCATCTCGGTGCCGTTCATCTTCCACCTGCAGCGGGAGGAGGGCCTCCTGAGTCCTGCCCGCACAGCGTCCCGAGGTCTCACCACATGGGGTCTCACCACCGTGGGGTCTCACCTGTAGGTGGCCGGAGGGCTGGCGCGGGCACGGCATGCCAGGGTCACCTTCTCCTCCGTGGACTCCTCTGGGAATAGCAGACTGAGCGGCTGGTCTTCAAAGACAGGGCCAAAGGTGGCCGGGGATCCCCGGGCCGAGCTCCCGGCTGTGGATGGGGACACAGGGCCTCAGGGACTGGGCTGGAGCCGGCCTCTGGGGCGGTGCCGCCCAGGAGAACTCTCACAGGGTGGGAGGGTTCTGTTTTCTGCACCGTCCAGTCTGGCACCATAAGCCACCATGGAGCCTCAAGATGTAGCTAGTGCCACCAGGAACCGAATTCGTCATTTTATTCAATTGCAATTAATTAAAAGTGGAATTTAAATAGGGTGGACAGGCCCGATCAGGGCAAGTTAGTTCAGTCGATCACCCATCCTGCACGGGTATTGAGCACCTGCTGTATACCTGGCACTGGGCTACACATTGTGTTGCAAACATGAGTAAGACACAGCCCCTGTTCCCCAAGGAGCCTGCAGTCGGGATCTCTCGGAAAAGCTGGTCTTCGGGCTGTGAGGTCGGCCTCGGGGGAGGTGTGGGAAGTCACTGGTCAAAAGGGGGAGAAGGAATATATGTCCCTGGAGCAGGTTGTCCTGAGAGAAAGGGCCCTGGTTCTGAGCTTCTTACCAGCTGTTCTAGAACCTTCTGAGCCAACATCTCCACCTGTGCGATGGAGAGACGGTGGACTCCCTCCCAGGGTCTGTGGGAGGCTTCAGCCTGGCACAGGCGTGTGCTCAGCAGGCATCTGCTGGACCCAAGTGCGGGGTGGGGGAACCTGGGAGGAGGGAAGGCTTTCTGATGGGTGGATGGTGTACACGTTGCTTTGGGGGCATTTGTATACAATGCCAGTGTGACAGCTCAAGGAGGAGAGGCACAGCCCTGGCTGGTTTGGCTCAGGGGATAGAGCGTCGGCCCGAGGACTGAAGGGTCCCGGGTTCAATTCTGGTCAAAGGCACCTACCACCTGGGTTGCAGGCTGGATCCCAGGCCCCGGGCGCCTGCAGGAGGCAACCCATCGATGTGTCTCTTTCACATCCATGTCTCTCTCTCTGTGTCTCTCCCCCTCCCTTTCACTCGCTCTAAAAATCAATGGAAAAGTATCCCCGGGTGAGGATTAACAAAAAGGAAAGAAAAGAAAAAAAGAAAAAAGAAAGAGGCGCAGAAGAGGGAATGATGTGCGGGTCACGGGGCAAGTCTGTGGCGCACACAGGTCTGCACCTCCGTCTCCTGAACTCGCTGAGCAAACGGGCACCTCAGGGCCAGTGTCCATCCTCACCAGGGCGGGGACCGGGCACAGGGGGGAGCGAGTCGCACCTGCCTTCCCTCGGGGGTGGGGAGTGGCCCCTGTGCCGATTGCTGTGTCCAGGCTCATGCGCCTTCGTGGTGTCAGGCAGGAGCCAGGCCACCCCTAATTGCTCCACCCTCAGTGCAGCTGATTCCAGGCCCTCCTGGGTGGGTCATGGGGCTGTGGGGTCTCCATGAACCAATTAGTGCCTCCTTGCCCAACGCATCCAGCTGTCAGGCCTCTTCCCGGGATGGGGGCTTGGTCCCTATGCTACAGCTGAGGCCCAGCCTGGACCCTGGGGAGCGAGGAGGGCAGCTGTGAAGCAGCTCTCAGAATGAGGATGGAGGCAGAGCTCCCTGAAATGCATCCTCCACCCCCCTCCCCGCTCCCCACCACCCATCACCACCCTTCACTGCCGCCTCAGGCCTTGGAGATGGCGGCTAGGGCCCGGCTTAATCCCAAGTTAATGATGGTGGTGGAGGGGAGGGGACCCCTGCCCCAGCTGGGACTGCAGAGAGGGGCCGGGAGGGGAGGGAGGGGGGCGGAGGCAGCCGGGCTGCTGGGAGCCATCTTGTTCAACAGCAGCTTCCAGTAACTCTGTCTTCCAGGAACCCTGGTGGGGCGGCTGAGTGGGCCCAGGGGCACCGATGCTTTCAGACTGGCTCTCGCCCTGGGAAAGCTTTCTCCTTGCACGCAGCTGTGTGCACAGCCTCACCCCGATGTCTACAGATGCAGGTGCCCACACCCCTCACCCGCACACACTCCCTTATGTGCACCCACATGGCACACACACGCAGGCAGGGTTCCCTGTCCTGGCAACTCTGCTCCCCAAGCACAGGTGAGGGGCGAGGGGTGTGAGTGTGAGGGGAGCCCTCTGCCTTTCCCTGCAGCAGGTGCAGCCCCGGTTGGGGCAGGGCCGCGAGGAGGTGGGGCCCAGGCACCTTCCTGGGAGGGTGGGAACCAGCCACAGGAGGCTCCACTGCAGTCTCTGGAGCTCTGCCACGTGGCAAGACGGGTCCCCTCTCCTGTGGCCTTCCCTGCATCTCTGGGTCTAAGGACCCCGGAGGCTGCCCACACCCTTGCCTCCAATGAGGGGGTCTCAGCACTGAGCTATCCCTGAGGGCGCAATGCTGAGCGGCCCAGGCCCCTCTCTGCTCTCTGCAGGGTGGGTGTCTCCTGCTCCCTCAGCCAGGGCTCCCCAACCCCGCAGCTCCTGGGGACCGGGAGGGCCCTCCCAGGCAGCTAGGCCTGGGGCTGGGGCTGGGAGACGACTCCCACCCTTGGGTCATTCCCAGCAGCCTCCCTGGCTTGGTTGCAGGACTGAGAGGCGTTGGGACACACGGAGACGGTGGGAAGCATGCCAGCCGAGTCCTTCCCTGGTGCCACAAGAACCTAGAATGTGTGGCTACAGCCTTGGGGGAGGGGTGGGTGCAGCCTGAGCTGGCGGGGACTCCAGGAGGACAGAGGAGGATGGGGAGCACGGGGACTCTTTCTCCCACGGAGAGCTTAGGGAGAAAACCGTCTATTGACCCGGGCTGGGGGTCAGGGCAGAGAGGCCAGTGGTGGGGCTAGTGAACCCCTTGAGTTGCAGCAGGCAGCCTGAGCATCCTCCTGCTATCAGACGGGCTGGGTCTCCGGGACCCTCTCCAGAGTCCAGCTACCCTGGCCTCTCAACCTACACTGTCCTCTCCTCCTCCTTCTCCTCCCATCAGCCCATCCTCCTCCTCCTCCTATCAGCCCGTCCTCCCTTCTCCCCACTTCGCAGCACCCCCGCATGAGAGCCTTTGCTTGGGTCCCTCTTGCCTTTTGCCTGGGCCCCCGGCGCTCTGCCTCCCCTCTCCCCACAGCCTGCTCCATGCGGTCTGCCAGGCTGCAGGTGCCCAGGACCCTCCCAGCCTCGTGGTGTGATCCCTGCCTGCTCGTGGCAGGGACCCCAGAGCAGCACCACCCAGTAGGACTTCCTCCGGCCACGGGAATGTTCTGTAATCTGTGCTGCGGTCCAGTGTGGCAATCAGCCCTTGAAATGTGCTAGTACCACTGAGGAGCTAATTTTAAAACGGAATTTCTCTTCACTTTGATCGTCCCGTGGCTATTGGCTACTCTACTGATCGGTGCAGCCTTCGAGGCCTCAACTGCGGGCTGATGCTGTGGGGTCTGGTTGTGCCTTAATCCTGCTGGGTGACCCTGGGCAAGCCCTTCACCCTCTGATCATGCTTCTTTCACCTACACAGGGCAAACACTCAGTCCCCCTCCTAACCTCAAGGGAGGGAAGATCCGTAAATGGGGAAATTCTAGCCGGGAAGTGCCTCAGAAATGTTAAGTGCTACAGCCCTGCAGAGCCAGTGACTTCTGTAGTCATCGCTCCAATAATAGCAATGACATAGCCCTAGAACCACCCCGCTGGGCTTCAGGGACCACGCGGCCCTCTTACCTGGAGAGGCGACGAGGGCCACAGCCAGCAGCAGCAGCAGCAGCTGCGACTTCCTCCTGGAGAGAGTCCCCATGGCGCTGTCCAGGCCCAGGTGGAGGAGAGGAGAGGAAAGTGCGGCAGGAGGCTGAGCAGGACCTAGGGAGGCAGGAGGGTGGGGGCCCTGAGCTGAGCGCCCCTCCCAGCTCCAGGCTGTCTGGGTCTTGCCTGGGAGAGGCCGGAACTGCTCAAGCGCTCATCCTCCCAGGGCCCAGGGGAAGGGGCTTGGCTATTACCAAGGAGCTCTTTCATTGCTGAGTGTCTCCGACGGCCCCCTGGGAGTCTGGCTCAGTCACTACCTCTGCCTCCTGCTCCCCCCCCCCCCCCGCCTCCCCTCCCCCGGGCTTGGCCAGCAGGGACCTCAGGAAGGGAAACAGTGACCAGCTGGGGTCAGGAGGCCAGGGCCAGCTGCCGGCTCACCTGTAATAGCTCTTGGGGTGGGTTCTGACGAGAACAGGGCCCGGGCCCGGACTTGGGGAACTAGTAACATGTTTCTCTAGTAATGGGGGCCCACTGCCCCTGTCCCCCACGGCTACCTGGGCGGGGGCAATGAGCCGCCCTGGGAGCTGTGCTGTCTCTCAGGCCCAGCCTTGCTTCTAGTGGAGGGGTCTCACTGTGCACCCCTTCTCCCCGTGCCCCCAGGTAAGTCCTCATGTCTTGTGCAGTGGAGCCATATGGCCTTGTAAGCGGTGCCCCGGCCACATGGGCGAATGGGCCAGGAAGCCCGAGCTGAAAGCGTCCGTGCAGCTCCCGGAGGAGCCTCCCTCTGGCACGGAGATGAGCGGGGTCTTGGCTAGATCTTGGGAGCTCAGGGCAACCTGTTCCCTAGGGTGGGGGCCCCGAGAACAAGTCAGAGCCCCCTCTGCCGGTCTGACCGATGGGGCCGCATCCCTAGAAGTGAGGTCAGGGCCAGCCTCTCCATCCACTCCCGTCTCTGGGCCAGCTTTCCAGGTTCTGGAGGGAGTGTGGCATCTCAGGGGCGTGCTTTCGGTTATTTGGGTGCCTGGGGCACTGGGATCCCGCAGGTCCCTGTCAGAGCTGCCGCAGGAGCCAGCAGGCAGCCAGTTGGCTCCTCTGTCCTGCCTGCCCCCTCGCAGACACCTAAGAGCAGGGGGAGGGCTCTGGGGTGGCGGGGAAGGGGAGAGAGGGGGGACCTGGTTTGGGGCTCTTCCACTCACTGTCTGCAAACCCGTCCCCCTGGGTCTCGGTGACTCATCTGCAGAATGGCTGCTCTCTAAGGTCCCCTCCAGCTCCGAGCCTGTGAGCTCGCAGAGAGTGCAGGGCGCTGAGGGCCTGGATGCTGTCCCCTGGGCGGGGGTGGCCAGGGGAGGAGGCAGGTGCCGGTGACTCTAACTCTGCCCGAGTCAGCACAGGGTCTGCAAACCAAAGCACGCTCCGCACCTCCCTGCCTCACTTCACGCTGTGCTCCTTGGCGAGTCCCCAAACCCTCCTCAGCCTTCTCCGCCCACTCCAGCCTCACGCCCACTTGCCTTGGTCCGGAAGGGCCTGGGGCCACCTCTCACCACTACCTGCCCCTCCCTGTCCTGGCCACGTTCAGTTCCAGACTTGAACTGAGAAATTCAGCACTTCCGGCCCCGTGACCGTCCCCCAACACCCATCCCTGTGCCTTTGTCATTGACGCCCCTCCTCTGAAATGCCCTTCCCAGGCCGGGCACACGCGTCCACATCCCGCATGGCCCCATTCAAGCTCACCCAAGCCCCTAAGATGCCCCACGAGCACGCAGTTAGAACTGAGCTCGCACCCTGACTGTGCCGTGGCCCGCCTCCGTAGAAGACTGTGAGCCCCCCAAGGGGAGAGACCGTGTCTCCAGGTCTCACCAAGCCTGGCGAAGTGCCTGGCACGTAATAGCACTTACTTGTGCGGTGCTGTTTGAGGACAGCTGTGTTATGTGCCTCCAGGAGCCTGTGCACATCACTGTCACACTCACACAGTGGAGCTCAATAGACAACTGATGGGGCTAACCAGGCTCTAGTGCTCCCCAGAGCCTAGTACAGTGATGGCGAACCTCTGACGCGCGTGTCATAGGTGACACGCGAACTCATTTTTTTGGTTGATTTTTCTTTGTTAAATGGCATTTAAACATATAAAATAAATATCAAAATATAAGTCTTTGTTTTACTATGGTTGCAAATATCAAAAAATGTCTATATGTGACACGGCACCAGAGTTAAGTTAGGGTTTTTCAAAATGCTGACACGCCGAGCTCAAAAGGTTCACCATCACTGGCCTAGAACAACCCTGGGGCCAACTCGCATATCCTCTCACAAACTCACACCCTCACACTCTTTCTCCCTCATACACATACTCACATACACACACTTTCACCCTCACACACTCTCTCATACACTTTAAAAAAAATTATTAATTGATTAGAGAGAGAGAGAGAGAGAGGGAGAGTGAGGAACATCGATTTCTTGTTCCATTTATTTATGCATTCTTTGGTTAATTCTTGTATGTGCTCTCACTGGGAATCGAACCCGCAACCTTGGCGTATCAGGACGATGCTCTAACCAACAGGGCGACCAGCCAGGGCTCTCATACACTTTTATACACACTCTCTCACAGATATTCTCACACACAGTCCCTGCTTCACACTCACCTTCACCCCTCACTCTCACACATTCTCTCCCACACACACACTCAGGTCTCTAGGGTCACAGGGGGTTCAGGCACAGGAACCGGGAAGTATGACCCCAGAGGCTGCACAAAAGCAGGGAGCTCTCCCAACAGGGAGGCACTGGGGCTCTGGGAAGTGCCCAGGCTTTGGCCTCCACGGACAGGATTTGGTGACATGGACTTCATCTCCTATTGGCTTTGTGAGCTCGGACAAGTGATTCCCCCGGTGGGGCCTGTTTTCTCATCTGCAAAGTGGAGATTACTTTGCAGAACTGTTCTGGTGTTCAGTGAGGTACTGGAGTGCCTGCCGGGGAAGTTATGGGGTCAGGGTCACAGCAGGGATGGGGTCAGAGAGAGGAGGGGCTGAGACCCTCCCCAGCTCCAGCCAGAGCAGCCTCACTCACATCTGCTTCATCTACTAGACTTCTCCACAAGGTTCCCTTTAAACCAGGGGTGGGGAACCTTTTACTGCCAAGGGCCATTTGGATATTTCTAACAACATCATTCACGGGCCATACAAAATTATCAACTTACAAATTAGCTGCTATATTTGATCGAACATTTAATTAACTCACCCTAATGCCTTGGCAGGGCCAAAGGAATGATTTTGTGGGCCTTATACCACCCAAGAGCCGATGTTCCCCACACCGGCTTTAAACTAAGGGTCCCATGGTTCCAAAACGTTTGGAAACACCCCCTTAGCGCTAGTGTGGCACATCCCCGAGCCGGGCACAGAGAAGGGGCTCAATCATTGCTTGCTCATTCCTGTCCTTTGTCTGCTAGTCTGGGAGCTCAGTGAGGGGGCAGGGTGCTGGCTTGGGCTCAGGGCTTTACACTGAGTGTGCCAGGGCCAAGCAGAGACAGACCACCAGGGAGCTGGGGGCCCTGGGACAGGAGCCACTGCTGCTCCCGCAGTGCTGGAGAGAGCGGGGTGGCTGTGCGTGTGTGTGCGTGCATGTGTGTAATGTTGGTGTGTATCTGTGTGTCGTGCCTATGTGTCCCTGTGGATATGTGAGGTCTGGTCTTTGTGTCTCTATGTATATGCATGTGTCTCTGTGTGTCTGTGTTTGGATATGTCTGGTCTTTGTGTGTGTGCCCACGTGTGTGCCCATGTGTTTGTGCATGTTTCTGTGTGTCCCTGCCTGCACAGGGCATGAACCCAGCCCTGCCCTGTCCTCCTGTGACCCACAAGGAGACCTGATCCTGGATCACTCACCTCCCCCCACAGCGGTCAGAATGATGTCACCACAGGTAATTATTATACTTTGTGAATAATCCAGTTCTGCTCCTCCTAAAACTCAGCTTAACTCAGACCTTTATCAGTCACCTAAGGGCTCAGGGGTCCCAGGCACCCCTGAGGGACAGACCGGGGAGGGCTGGGCAGGGGCTGAGAGGGAGGAGCACCTGGGTTGCACCAGAGGTACTAGAGAGTGCTGTCAGGTGTACACTGAGCCCAGCTGTGTGCCAAGGCGGAGTCTGGGTCAAAGGTTGCAGCTTCTTGCTCCCTGAAGGTGAGGCAGGTGGCATCCAGTCTTGCCCTGTGTCCACTTCCTCCCAGCATTTAGTGCCATGTGCTAGGCGCTGTGCTATGCACTGGGAGACAGTAGCAAAAACTGCCTTTATGGACCAGCCATGTGCCCGAGGATGTGCTCATGAGCCCCACGGACCAGTCCTCTCCTCATACCATCTGCCCTGTGACACATCCTGGAATGCTCAGGATGGGGGAGGCCTTTTTGTCAGGAGCCAGGCCAGAGTGGAGCTATGCCAGGCCCGGAGCGGGCCCTGTGAGCCCCGAGCCAGCCAAGCCTGGCCCAGGCCAGCTGCCCGGTACAGGGGAGCAGGCACAGGCTGGCACAGGCGGGCACAGGCTGTAACCATCAGGGGGGCCGGGCCTATGAGGCACCAACACATGGGGGAGCGGGCTGCTTGGGGGTTCAGAGGCTGCAGGGGGCACTGGCTGGATTGCTGGCCCAGGGAACAAAGGGCCTGGGGGACAATGAAGGTGGGGTGAGGGGGAAGGAAGACTGAGAGCTGGACTCTAGCACACAGCAGGGTATGCTGGGCTCAGGGCCCTGCACAGAACAGCCAGAAAATGAAAGACACACGCCTCCTAAATGCGACCACTGAGGACACCCGGCTCCTGGCCCTGAATCCGCCTCCCGCCACCCCCGGGGGAGATGTGAGCACCCAGGGCTGCTTTCCGACGGGTGGGGACAGACAAAGGGGGAGTTTGGCGTCCAGGGGAGGGCAGAGACGAAGTGATTTATCTTAAGGCGCCGAGCACCGCCTGAGCCCTCATGCCCCCGCCCCACCCCACAGCACAGCACAGACTAGCGGGGCGGCCCTCAACCAACCCCCTTGGAGCTGACGAGCTAGCACAGCCCTGACGACTGTGTTCATTACTTAGAATCTCAGAGCCTCAGTCTGCAGCATGGGGGTGAGAAGGGGTAGCCACCCCAAGGGACTCTGGTGAAATTAGCACCATTCCTGGCCCATGGCGAGAGTCGGGGTGGGGGTGGGGTGAAGGGGGAACAGACATGTCCACAGACACTGTGCCTGGCTGTGTCAGGCTCCCTTCTGCACAGTCACCACGTGGGGGCTGCACGCACACGGGTTTAGGACGCTGACAGCCTCCCACATCTGGGCAGGTGCCTTCTTCCTCTTCCGCCCCCAGGTGCGGGGGCCCGGGCCAGCCCAGCACGCACACCACCCCAGAGGAGGGCACCAGGACGCACAGTCACATCTAGACGCCAGCTGTTCCGGAGAACACCTGGCGAGGACCCGCGGGGCACCCCAAGCAGGTGCTACTCCGCAACCCTCCCCACCTGCTGCCCTCCCTCGGGTCTCAGAGGGGAGGGGGACTCTGCCTACGACAGGAACCACCAGCTGGGACAGGACCACTCCACGCCCCTCTGGGAGGACAGGGGTCTATGGTGGCCCGGCGCGGCCACGTGGCAGGCAGGGTGGGTGCGGGCAGGAGCAGCACCGTGGTTGAGAGGCCTCGGTGAGGAAGGCAGGTGGCCTCCGCTGGAGGAGGTCCTGAGGCTTGGGGACCTTCTTAGTCCCCATGGGGGGCAGGGGAGCTGTGCAGCTGGGACCCTCCTCAGCCCCCTCTCGTGCTCCCTCCCTCCCCGCACCCCGAGGTGTCCGCAGGCTCTTGCATTGGCAGCGGGTTCCCTGAGGCCCAGCCCCGGCACTGACTGCCCTGTCTCTGAGGAAAGGTGGGTGTGTGAGCTCTCAGCCTGGCCCTGAGGGAATCTGGCCCTTGATCTTCAGCCTGCAGACCTTGGCCCTCCTGCCTCTGCCGTTGCATGACTGCATGGCTGCATGGAGAGCCCCTCAGAGTGGGATGTGGACAGAGGGAGGGCCTGCATCCTCCCGGGAGGGGCTGGGACAGGGGGCAGGCGCGCCTCGACCCTCGGGTTCCCACTCGCCTGCCTGCTCGGTGCCTGGTATGAAGGCATGAGCGAGGCGTGGGGAGGAGGGTCCGTTTGTGAGATGCCAGGAGTAAGAGCAATTGTTTTAATTTTGTTCCGAAGAGCCAAATCGGGAAGAAGTTGGGGGAGTGATTTTGCATGTCCCCTCCTGTCTGCAGAAAGGAGACGCCCCAACTCCTAGACAGTGTCCTGCAGGCCGGTCAGCGCCCAGCCCGGTGGGTGGGCTTGAACCTGCTCCGCCCCTCAGGCCAGCTTCTGCTCTGGAGCCCAGCCGAACGGCTCCTCTGGGTTACACAGCAAGAAGGCCGACGTTCGGGCAGACATGGGTGGAACAGCCTCTTGGTCTGTGGCGGCTGGCGGACATTGAGAGGATGTGGGCTGGGGCCAGAGGAGGCCCCCAAGGTTTCGTCCGGATGGGTGCTCTGTGTGTGTGTGTGTGTGTGTGTGTGTGTGTGTGTGTGTGTATGTGTGTGTGGTGTGTGTGTTTTGGGGGCGGGGGACATGGTTGTGCAGCTCATCAGATGAGAAGGACGCTGAGCTGTACTTGGATCTGCACGTGTCCTGCGATGCCACGGGCTCAGTTTTGGGGGAGCACATCACACATCTTTGCTGTTGCTCCCATCCTCTTTTGATAAACAAGGAAACACGGGCTTATTTTGTAGCAAGAGGACTCACTGAACCCAAGGAAGGACTTGTTTACTCCAGGATGGTGACCACCAAGACAGAGTCCATGGAAACTCCCACAAGGTCCAGGTTAGCAAACCGTGTGTGTGTGGTGGGGCTGGGGGAGGTCCAGAAGAATGAGAGAGGCTGGGAGAGATGGCCCGCATGAGGCAGCAGGGAGTGAAAGGAGTCCTAGTCGCCCCGCCTCTTACCAATTGAAAGAGGATTCCTGAGCCTGGAGAAATTTACAGGGTCATCCAGCCCAACCTCCACCCCCAAGCAAGACTGTTTTAACCTTGGACCGGACCCCCGTTTCCCATGGCCTCTTTGGAAAGACGGCCCCACCTCGGGCTCATCCTTCTGGCGAGGAAGTGCCTCCTGCAGTCTAACTTCAGTCCCTCCTGCTTCGCTGGACTATTCTTTCCATGAGTATTGACCTCCTCTTGCTCAACACCCTGGCTCTGCCCCCAGGAATCCCTCCAACAGTGCAAACACCAGCCACACGCAGACCCAGATTGTCTTTGAGATGCACTTTCTCACAAACATTTGGCTTGAGGACATTCTGGGGTGGGGGGTGGAGGACCCCCCAGATGAATTGCTTCCCTGACAGCCTTAGCACCAGAGAGGATGCCTTGGGGCGCCCTCCCAAGGGCTTGCCCCTGAGGAGTAAGTTTGGGTCAGAGAGGACCTGTGCAAGCACCCCACTGAGCACAATGCCCAGAGGCCCGCCCACATGTGTCTCTATTTGAGGGCTGAAGGTGGAGAGCACATTTGATCAGGGAAAGGAGTGTGAGGGCTTGGCCAGGTGGGGCGTAGAGGATGAGTGGGAGAGAGAGAGAGAGAGAGAGAGGGAGAGGAGCCTTGTGCTTCCCTCACCGCCCATGCTGAGCACCGGAAGGACAGGTGGATCTTGGTGACTGATGTCATGTGCTCAGGGACCCCCATCCCATCTCTCTCCCTTCCTGCCTCCCCTTTGCTGGCTGGGGACTCCTGATAGACCCCACAGGCGATCAGGAAGAACTCTGGCCTTGTGGCAAAGCCTTGCTGGAGTGGTTCTGCAGCCTGGCTGGTAAGGGTTAGCTGGTGAGCACCCTGGAGAGGGCTGCTGTCCAGGCCAGGAGCCTGGGCTCCACCCCCTGCCCCACCCCCAGGAGCCCAGGTCACACCAGCCTCTCACAGGTGGCCCACCTCTGGCTGCCCTGGATCCCCAGTGGCTGCTCTGGTCCCTCTGAGAGCAGCTGAGAGGAGGCGTGGCTGAGGGAACTGAGGGCTCTCTGGCCAGAGAGCTGGGAGGGGAGCCGGAGTCGGCTGCCGGAAGGAGACCGGGATGGCTCTGATGGACTGGGATACTGGGCTGTGCCCATGCCTGCCTCCCTCAGAGCAGAGGAGAAATGATGCTGGCTGGGCTGGGAAGGGGGTTCATGGCCGAGGAGTGAAGCTGAAAGGAAAGGAGGGTAGGTCTGGCTGGACATGAAAAGGGGGCAAAGCTAAGGGCAGGCACCCGGCGGGCTGGAAACCCATCCTTCTCCAGGGCTGGGCCACGGGCACTCACAGCTCCTCCCATCCTGTCTGTCTGGATTCCCAAACCTCCAAACAACCTTGACTGACAGCGTTTCCTCCTGGGACACAGGCTCAGCTCCCGGAGGTCTTTGCTGAGCGCCCCTGGCTTTGTCCCGTGTGGCCCGGGACTCTCTTCCCACAGGCTCTGTCTCATCTCACTCCCCCGTCTTCTTTCCCAGGCCTTCCAACCCCTCCTGGACCAGGTGACAGGATTCCGCTCTGGGCACTGCCTGGGGCCGCTCCCCCCACCGCAGATCCATTATGTAAGCCCCATGGTGCTGGGGAGAAGGGTGGCCCTCTTTTCCTGGACCCCGAAACCGTGTCCCTCCCCCTTCTAGCCCCAGCCCCTTTTCTTACCAACTTCATGCAAATCCTTCTCTCCCACCAGTGAAGATGAGAGGGAGGGGTTTGGGGGGAAGGCAAAGTTGGGGAGGGGGGAGGGAAGAAAAGAAATTTCAGCCCCTGTGGGCTCAGTCCTTACCCTTTGGGGTCTCACTTGCCTCAGTTTCTCCTCCCTAAGTCCCTGTTTCTGGACCGGCCTTTGCCCAAGCTCGTGGTCCACTCCCTCCTCTGTGGAACTGAAGCAAGACTTTGCAAAGAGGTCACCCTGCAGAGGCAGCCTCCAGGGGGGCCTCCAGGCTGGGCAGTCAGTACCATTCCATCCGGGAGATCTGGGGGCCGGCCAGGGTCTGGGGCTTGGCCTCCGGGACTTTCTGGTCCTGGACTGGGGGCCAGGGCAGGGGCCAGAGCCACTGCCCCCTCTGAAGGCATTTGCTGCTGTCAGCCAGCGGCCGCTGACCGGCTTAAATTCTTGAACACGCTGCAGGAGGCCAGCTTCCTGGCCAGGCGGGGCCTGCTGGGCCCTGCAGGATGCCACCCATGTAGACAGGGCGGAGGGGACTTCTAGTCCCAGTGGTGAGAGGTCAGACTGGCCCCAGCCCGAAGCGGGGGTTCCCGCCCTGCCCCTGCCCCTTCTAAGTTGCAAGGGCACTGAGCTCCGAGTGCCTGCCCACAAGAGCACCCCCGGGGAGTCCCCCTCCCCTGGCAGCGGCAGCGAGAGGAGACAAAATTGGTTGCCACCTACCTGGGGTGAAAGAGGGGTGTTGGCTGGGGCAGGTGGACGCTGACCGAGGCGATGAGTCAGAGCCAGCCCGGCCACCAGCCCCCTGGGCCGGCCGCCTCTCCTCCCCTGCTCCCTCAGCCGCTGGCTGCTGTCCTGGCGCGGTGGCGGCAGCCCTGGCGGCGGTGGCGGGCGAGGGCGCTGGTGTGTGTGCGCGCCCGGAGCCACTGCAGCATCTCTGCATCAAGATGTGCTCCTCCCTCTCCCAGGCTCCGCTCTCTGGCTGGCTCCTGTCCTCAGCCAACGCTCGGGCCCTGGAGATGACTTCCTCTGCCCCTCCCACCCCTTCCCATTCCCACCCCCTGGCTTTACCTCATCTGCTGTCATTTAGGGACCGGAGCGGAGCGAGCCCGAGTGCCGCGTCTTCCCCGGGTCTTCCATATGCACGGGCTCCGCTCAAGGGCGCTGTCTGGCCTGCCCCCTCCACTCCCGCCGCCCCCCCCAATCCCATCCAGCCCAGAGCTGAAGGGGCTGCAGAGGGGTGGGGTGCAGAGGGAGAAGAAAGTGGTTCTTGCTCTTCAAACCCCTGGAGGCTCCCGGAGCCAAACTCCTTGTTCCCCCCAGAAATTAGAGGAAGGGACGAAAAGCAGAAATCTCCAGCTTGTGGCGCAGGGCGGTGGGGTGGAGGGCTCCTTCGCGGGCACCCACATGTTCATCTTTATTGTCTCCCTGATCAGCGTCACATGGCTCTTTGTCAAATGATCCACACATGAGGGGAAATTTAAAAATAAATAGTAAGAAGTCCCTTAACAGATTTGAGTTCCATGCCTCTGTGTTTGTTATTTCATGTACATCATTTCATGGATTGTTGGTGTTATTTTATGAAAATGAATCACACAATACATCATGACTTGCAAAATACTTTGAACTGTCATAGATCTTGGACACGGTTCCACGTCAGTACTTATGGATCCAAGCTTCGTTTTAATCAACCAGCAGTGTGAGGTCACAGAAAGCTGACTAGGTGGGGGCCTGGCGGTCGGAAGGGTAGGCTGGGCTCTGCTGATTGGCTGTGGGTGACCTGAAGGGCCAAGCTCACTGCGAGCTCTGAGATGCTGGGTGCTCACCCAGGTGGGCACTGTCTCTCCTGCTCTGCTCCTGTCATGAGGGGTGGGGGAGGCGGTGTGCCCAGAAGCAGGGGGACCCGCCATCTGTGGCAGTAGTTGGCCCCATCAGGCTGTCACTGTTGTCTCACCCTCCTCTGTCCACCTGCTGTCCCGTCACACAGGCAAGACCGGTGAGCGGTCCAGATGCTGAAACAGCTGGCAGGACCAGGCCAGTCTCGGAGTTTCAGTGGCTGTACCTGTCCAGCCTGGAGCGTGGCAGCGTGTCTTTCCTGAGTAGAGCAGGTCACAGGGGCTTGGGACAGAGCTGGGCTGAGTGGGGAGCCTGGAGAAGGAGGAGTCGCTGCCCAGCCTCCCAGGGCCGGGACGCCTGCCCAGGTCCCAGGTGCTCTGCCCCCCGCCCGTCCGTCTGCTCCCTCCCAAGTGCTTTCCCAACTCAGGAGATGGTCTTCTTTGTTTCAGTTGGAGAGACAGCCGATCGATCATGCCAGTGACCGTCTTTAGCTGGGAATGGCTCTCTGCAGATCCCTTCCAGGTGCCTTCCCTTTCCCGCCTCTGCCCACTGCACCCTTGTCTCTCTGTCTGTCTGTCCGTCTGTCTTGCTGGGGTTGGCACATTGGCCCTGAGCGCCTGTGGTGAGCCTTGCCCTCTGACACCGCCCAGGTCAGCCCATGCCCTGCAGAGAGGCTTCAAGTCTCCCCAGGCAGAAAGTGGTGCCCAGGAAGAGGCGGCACCTCTGCTGTGTGTGTGTAGGGAGGGGGTGGGGGGGGGGCACTGACCAGGGTCTTGCCTGACTCGGGGGCCAAGGGTCTGAATGCTTGCAAGGGTTGCTTTCGATGGAGACAGCTGTTTTTGTGGCTACTGTCGGACAGCTGCTGCCCTGTGGTGAGGGCAGGAGCCTGGGGGGGGGGGGGGGAGGGTGAGGGAGCATAGCTCCCTCCCAGTTAGTTCAGGTGACTGGTCTCAAAGGTCCTCTCAATTCCTCTGCAGCCTGCCTGCCCCCCTCCCCCAGCTGCAAGAAGTGAAAACTGCCCTAGCCCATTTGGCTCAGTGGAAAGAGCATCAGTTCCTTAGTCTGAAGGGTCCTGGGTTCGATTCCGGGTCAAGGGCACATATGTTAGTTGCAGGCTCGATACCAGGCTGAAACCAATTGATGCATCTCTCTCACATCAATGTCTCTCCTTCTCCCTTCTACTCTCTCTAAAAACCAGTGGGAAATGTCCTCAGGTGAGGATTAACAACAACAACAAGAACAATAAAACAGTGAAAACTGAGAGTACATACTAAGCCCAGGCCTGGCTTTGGGGAGACACGTCCCAAGAAATCTCTTCTCCCAGGTTCCAAGCTCTCACCTGAGCCGGGTACAATGAATTTGGGGGGCTATTGAGGATTCTCACTGCCAACCCCTGTGGTTTCTGAAAAAAAAGTGGGGTGAACATTTGAGGGTCCAGGCTGAGTTTTGCTTGTGGGGTCCATTCGCTTGATAATGACCAGAATATTTTATGGTGTCATATTAATTTTGTATAAATTATTAATAATAACTTGAGTGTCTCCAATGTGTCAGAAGCTGTACTAAGTGCTTTACCGGAATGATCCATCAGGCATAAGTGTTGTTGTTATTACTGTTATTTTACAGGTGATGCTGAGGGCTTAGGGAACTTGCTCCAAGCAAACAGGAAGCACGTGGAGCCTGCTGGTCTGGCTCCAGCCTCCATGGTTTAACCATGACGCCCTGGGCTCCAGCTGCCGGCACCTGCCTTCGGAGGGGGGCGCAGCGGGGGGCAGGACGCTTTCCTCTGTGTTGGTGTCTGCCAGGTCCCGGAATCCTCAGTACAACCAACTGTACGGGGCACCTCTGCTCTCTGTGGCTAATCAATGTGTCTCCATGTTGTGCCGAGCGGGACACCCCATCCCAAGTGGAGTCCCCACAGACTCCCAGGCCGGACAAAGAAGGGCCAGTGAAGATGATTGGGTAGCTCATCAAATGGGCCACTGATTGCCTGTAAACATGAATTGGCTTCAGGGTGGGAGCTCCCAAAAAGTGCCCCCCCCCCCCCCCCGCAAAAAGCTTTATTGTTCCATTTGGTCCAATGCATGGGAGAGGGCTTCAGGGTGGTTAAAAGCAAGGCTAGGAGTTTCGGGGTGAGGCTCAGGTAAAAGGCAGACACCAGGGGATGCAGAGGGGCCCCTCAAAGGCCTCTGGGCTCCACAGGCTCCTGGTTGTGCTGGAGGGTGGGCCTTTCCAAGAGCTACTGCAGTGGTCGGCAAACTGCGGCCCCTTGAGTGTGGCTCTTCCACAAAATAACACGTGTGGGCGTGCACGTACAGTGCGATTGAAACTTCGTGGCCACACTCAAGGGGCCAAAGAGCCACATGTGGCTCTTGAGCCGCAGTTTGCCCACCACTGAACTACTGGCTCAGCCCAGCCTGGGGGCGGCAGCCTGCGGAGGGGAGCCAGGTGTGGCCCATCTTCTTGATGAGTTTCACCTCCTCACCCGGAAGCGGTTCTGCAGGAAGTCAGAGCTGAGGGTCTGCGTGGGCAGAACCCGGGGCACACAGGTCCGCGGGGCCTGGGTCAGGTTCCTCCTCAAGGCCAGGGCGGCTTCCCTGGCACCCTGAGTTCTGCCCACTCATCTTGGGGGGCCTCAGCGCGTCCTGGAAGAGAAAGCGCCCACCGCACTGGGTTTGCAACTTTAAGAGACGCCCAGCGCCTTTGAGCTTCTTCTCCACCAACTCACGGAAGAAACGCCCCCCGCCCCCCAGAGCCACAGCGTCCAGGTGGAAACAGAAGCCAGAGAGAGGTAGGTGTGGGGGCCCGAAGAGGCAGGGTCCAGGCGGCTGACCGCAGCCTCCCCCTGGGTGGGATAATGCTGACGGATTTGGGAGCTCCTGGTTGTTCGGCGATAAGGATTAAGGTAGAAATAAACCACGTGTGTTGGCTGGTCCCGGAGGTGGTTCTGAAGGTGGTTCTGAAGGTGGTGAGTGGATAAGATGCTGGAGAGTGGCCGGAGGCTGGGAGAAAGGGCGTCCCTGGGCCTGTTCCGTCCAAACACCGTTGAAGCAAGAGGCAGAGCCGGGACCGCCGAGGCCACTGCCTCCCAAAAGGCATCTTGAGGGCCACCCAACCCTTCTAAGATCATCTGGTCCCGCCTCCAGCAGCCCCGCCAAGTCAATAGCAAAGGAGTGCGGGAGGGGCCTCGAGCCCAGCCAGGGACAGTGGGCTCTGCCATGTCTTTCCTCATCAGTCTCAGCCTCACGCTCCTGCCCTGGCCTCTGGCCACCAGCGCTGTGGTCTGAGTTTCAGGCTTCAGTCACTTTTCTGGAGCTCCCAGGAGACCGCAGGTGCATGGAGCCGCTTCTCGGCCTCAAGTAGTGGGGGTTGGAGAGCCATGGGAGGTGGTCTGTCTGCAGTCTTTCTGGAAACAGCCTGATAGTGGTCCCAGGACAGTTCACCCGCAGCTGCGGGGAAGAGCGACGAAGCAGGTTGGGCAAAGCTCCGGACTCGGGCCAGCTTAACAGGCAGGCGTGCTGTTCATGAGCTGAGTGGCCCTGGGCCCAGCCACTCACCTCCTCAAAGGCCCAGGTTCCTCACCCGGATTAAGACACAAACCTCACTGAGCTGCTGTGAGCATTGAATTACCCACAAATATCTAGCCCGGGGCCAAGCGCATAGCAGGGACTCAGTAATGTCAGCCCTTCCCTTGGGCCTTTTTGGGATTCAGCCTCCCATCCGCAGCACAGGGATGTACGCCTGCCGCCGGGCCCCTCTCTGCTGCGATGGCTGGGATGGCTCAGGGTTTGCAGGCCGGAGAACAGACTCCTCAGCTCTGCCACTCCTAGGGAATGACACTGAAGCATATGCAACTGATGGAGGAATCCATTTCCACAACTGTACAATGGGAATAATCCTATTCCTACTGGTTTGAGCATTTAGCCAAGTGTCATACAAACTACAGATTTTATTCCCTACGCCGTCTCCCCTAAGAAGTCTCCGAAGGTAGCGATTATCTCAATATTGTCTCTGTTTTCCTGCACCCCCTCCTGCTCAGCACAATGCCTGGCGGATGATAGAGACTCAGTGAGCACTGGTTGATGGGATGAGGAGCAGAGAGGGAATCACCACTGAACAGTTCGGGTGGTGGAGAG